TCAATTCAAAATATCTTTATTCGTGTAGGTCTATTACAGACTCTTATGATATGTCAAATCTACCGTCAGTTCGGAGTGATTTTGAGATGAGAAGAACTGACAAGAAACTCAGCTCGTATTTTTTTCAAATAAATGTTGTACATGTTTACAAAAATACACAGTCATTAAAATTCAGATTTAGGAGGTGTGACCACCATATGATATCGCAAAAAGCAAAAAATCTAATCAGTGTTCGCAACCTGAACCGACCAGTCCCCACAAGCAACACCCGTTCACGAGTATGACGGATTTCTCTGTTAATTAAAGGTGCGTGTACACTTGACTTGAAAGATTCAAGTGTGTACGCGGCTTTATAGCGCTGTCATTACAAATGTCAAGGCTGCGCGCGCGCACTTCGACCGTACTGATGTAATCTTAAATACTTTTGACCCACCGGAGGGACAGTGCTCGTCTAACTATTGGTCAAGATTTATGAGTTTTATTCTACAAATGTTACCAGTGTGTTAAAACATTATATTTAACTTAATCATCACTACATAGTATAAAACAAAGTCGCTGTCGCTGTCTGTCCCTATATATGTTTAAATCTTTAAAACTACGCAACGGATTTTGACGCGGTTTTTTTTAATTGATGGAGTGATTCAAGAGGAAGGTTTATATGTATAATACATGTACACCCGGGCGAAGCCGGGGCGAGTAGCTGGTAATATTATAAAAGCGAAAGTTTGTATGTATGGATGTTTGATAAACTGAACGGATGTTGATGAAACTTTACAGTAATAAGTCATGCATATAGGCTATATTTTTTATTGAAATCTAACCTAACGCGGGTCAAACCGTGGGCACAGCTAGTATTCTATAAAGGTGGAGAAGAGAACCTACACTCACTACACATATGCTTGTCACAATATTTTTCACGGAGAAATAATTAGAATAAATAAGACGCAAGAAATGGCACATTAAGTCTATGGAAAGCAAAAGGTAAATTCAATTTATGGAAAGCAAAAAAAAACAATTTCATAATCTAAATATATATAAGGTGACTGACTGATAGTGATCTATCAACGCACAGCCCAAACCACTGGACGGATCGGGTTGAAATTTGGCATGCGGGTAGATGTTATGACGTAGGTATCCCCGCTAAGAAAGGATTTTTATTAATTCTACCCCCTTGGGGATAAAATAGGGGATGAAAATTTGTATGAAACTTTGTCAAATTTCAACCGATCGGGCTGAGACTTTGCATGCATAAAGCTACTATGACGTAGGCATCCCCTAAGAATGGATTTTATAAATTCCACCCCTAAGGGGATAAATTAACGCTAGCGAAGCCCGGGCAAAAATCAGCATCGTATAATATAAAATCAAATAAAAAAAAAATTATTCATGTATTTTTTGTATTAATACTTTTCCCTACCGTCCAGTTCAGTATACAGATTCAACTGAGAAGAACTGGCAATAAACTCAATTGAATTACTTTTTTTTTAAAAGCCATTTTATTTACAATGTTTATTTATATAGGTGTCTATGTCTAACATTAAATGAAAATCCCGTGCAAAAACAACTATTGCCATGCACGCTCGTCATTCAAGTAATCGTTTAGTGAGTAATAGGCCTTGCTCAGTAAATATGATTTAACAGATGTTTTAATTTATTTAAAGGTAATTTTAGTATATCCTTTGGTACTTTAATTTTTTATATATTTAAGTCTTATTGACTTTTTCTAAACGATACTTAGTAACAGAAATAATTTGCTCATAACTTTGGTTAGGCAGAGGAAGGCCGAAAAAGAGATGGAAGGACTGTGTGAAAGATGATATAAGAAAGTGAGTGAATAACGAGATGACTGCGAACAGAGATGAATGGAAGAGAAAACACATTACGACGACCACAAACAAATGGGATAAGGAAGAAGCAGATGGCTATAGATATACTATAGATATAGTAACAGCAAGTTTGTCTTTATATCTAGTATTAATTATGAATGTAACTATTTTTATATCAATAGTAGTCATAATAATAGTGATCCTGGAGTAAGGTTTAAACGAAGTTAAGATTCCATGGTTTCACGGTGCGGGTACTGGATCCATCTTATGGCAGAGAGGGAAATTCCTCCCAGCAGGCTCCACTTCCCCGATGGGCATACTGGGTACGTGCCCGCTATGGATTGGGGCTTAGCCTACACCCTACTCCATTACCAAACGATAACCGATAGCTACTCTACTCTGACCTGAAAATCAGTCTTAACAAATGCTTACCGACTATGTTGAAATCGTTCGTTTTTGAAAGTTTTTATGAATGTCTAGCAAGAACTTGGGCACCTCATCACATAACAACTTAAAATTATTCTTGCCTAGTTTGTTTTGAAGGTATCTATATCTATATTTGTTAGTTTTTATGAATGTCTACCAAGAACTTGAGCACCTCATCACATAACAACTTAAAATTATTCTTGCCTGGTTTTGAAGGCAGGGCATACCCATGTATATCTCTAAAGAGTCATCCAAACCTGACTTTGTCTATTCTAACAAAATAGTGCTTTATTACTATGGTCATAAGGGCCTCATTATCCTAAAGTGCCCAGGATTTCTAATAGGTGAAAGATGGCCCTGCCTCTTAGTTTCCGGGACTTGTGTCCTGGGTGTAGGTTTAAGACGCTCCTAAGAATATCCTTCAATTCTTGTCCCTGACGGGTCTAGGTAGCGAACTTTGAAAAGGGCGAGCACAATAGATCTATGTAGGTCGCAGTACTACAGGTGCTACACATCTGACAATAGCCCAAACAACCAAATAAAAAAAAAAAAAATTAAAGACGCCCCTTGCCCACATACGTCAACACTCACCTTAACCGTTCGTGTTTCCATGCCCAGACAAATCTGGTAGGAGCCTGCTAGTGCAGCTTTAGAGACACGCTCCAATATAGAACTAATCTAATTCTAGACAGGCGAAGATCTTAGAAAAAGAATAGAATAGAAAATCACTTATTCAAGTAAACGTACATTGAAGCACTTATCACATTTCAATCTACCGCTCATTCGGAAAGCAGTTCATCATAAGAAGATAGATCAAGAAACACTCAAGTGTTGCTCAAATATTATTTATGACGGAATTATTCGCATTAAAATTTGTAAAAAAAAGTCCGCGACAATATCGGTCTTATTATTACATATTACAATTATTACATATTACATGTACATATTACAACTTACAGTACAATTTTTAAAATTGAGTTTGATTTTTTGCATTTAGACCACTGTTAAACTAGGGGCATCGCAGGTCTAACTTTAGACCAGAGACGAATCACGGTTTAGAGATAAACTTCATTTTGTAATAAGCTGTACATCGGTGAATGGTTTATTACTAGTGCTAAACCAGGTTTATCTTTTTGTAATAAGGCCGCAAATCTTTTAAGGTTAACTGACTATAACTTTGACTTTCTTGCCGGTTTACTAATTCGATTCTGTATACTGAACTGGGCGGTAGGGAAAAAACTATAATCTATGCATATAAATTAAATTGGAGTGTCTGTTTGTAATATAGAAATAACCATTTTCATGATCTGATGTGAATCTTGGGTGATACTCATCTATATTCAAACCCCGAGAGGTGTTTGCAGGATAGTATTATAAATAACTAGCTACTCACCCCGGCTTCGCATGGGTGTACATATATTATATACTAGCTCTTGCCCGCGGCTTCGCTCGCGTTAATTTATCCCCTTAGGGGTGGAATTTATCAAAATCCTTTCTTAGGGGATGCCTACGTCATAGTAGCTTTATGCATGCAAAGTCTCAGCCCGATCGGTTTAAAATTGACAAAGTTTCATATAAACTTTCATCCCCTATTTTATCCCTTTGGGGGTAGAATTAATCAAAATCCTTTCTTAGTGGATGCCGTCATAACATCTACCTGCATGCCAAATTTCAGCCTAATCCGTCCAGTGGTTTTGGCTGTGCGTTGATAGATCACTATGTCAGTAACCTTTGAGTTATATATATTTAGATATAAACATTCCTCTTGAATCACTCTATCTATTTAAAAAAAAACCGCTTCAAAATCCGTTTCGTAGTTTTAAAGATTTAAGCAGACAGGGACAGACAGCGACAGCGACTTTGTTTTATACTATGTAATGATGTAAAAATTTTGTTTTATACTATGTAATGATGTAAAAATTTGAAAAATAAAGCTATATAGTTTTTAGTTATAGATAGTTTACATCGTAGGGGAATCGAACCTGCGATTATCGTAAAAAAGTGTGCTAAACCTTGGTTAATTCTAAATCATTGTCTATTGCCAATAATATATAGAAATAGAAATAGAAATAATCTTCATTCAAATAAACTCATTACAATCACTTTTGAATAGTCACATTTTGATTCTACCACTCATTCGGAACGCAGACTCATCACAAGAAGAATGAGCAAGAAACTTGTGGTTCCTCTTTTGTATAATAACAGACCAGCGACTGTCGTAAGTAAATCAGTGTGCCACAACTAGGTTAATTTTACATTATTGTCCATTGCTAATCTTATATATAAAATTCTCGTGTCACAGTTTTCGTTCCCATACTCCTCCGAAACGGCATGACCGATTCTCATGAAATTTTGTGAGCGTATTGAGTAGGTCTGAGAATGAGCCAACATCTATTTCTCATCCCCATAAATGTTAGGGGTAGTCCACCCCCAAATTTTTTTTTGACAAAATTTTTAGATTCTATTTTTTTTATGATACAACATACAAAAATACATACAATCCTAAATTTTCACCCTTCTATCATCAACCCCTATTTTTTTATAGCGTTATTAATTTATATGTCAAAACAACGTTTGCCGGGACAGCTAGTAATTTATATATATTTATAACCAAAGTCACATGTGAGTACAGTTCTAGAGATCCAGTTCGCGTCACAGAAATACAAACAAGAAATCCACATTCTGAGCGTGAATTTTAATAAATATACGACCTCGGTGCATCTCTATATAAGCGAAGGGCGGCCGACGTGCGCGCAGTTACTCTGTGGCAGATTTGCAAAATGGTGAGTCTGTGACACATATATACTAGCTGTGTTCGCGACTTCGTCCGGGAAATAGTGGCTTTGGATAGCATTTATAATTGTTTAGGCTAATTATTTCACAATTCATATTAAAAAATCATTTATTCATGTAGGACATTTTAGGCGCTTATGAACGTAATTTTTTTATATTATACTAGCTTTACCCGTGACTTCGTCCGCGTTGAATTTAACTTTATTTTCCTAAAATAAAAGTAGCCTAAGTTACTCCTTTTTTAAACTATACATATAAATAAAATTGGAGTGTCTGTTTGTAATATTGAAATAACCGTTGCTTACTACATGCATATGAATATAAATACGGTACATACACCAAACTAATATTTTTTAAAATTTTTGTCAGTCTGTCTGTCTATTTGTTCCGGCTAATCTCTGAAATGGCTGGACCGATTTTGACGGGACTTTTTTAGCAGGTTAGCTGATGTAATAAGGAGTAACTTAGGCCACTTTTATGTCATAAAAGTTCTTTTATTTTAGAAAAATAAAGTTAACTTCCACGCGGATGAAGTCGCAAGTACAGCTAGTTATAAAATAAGTTTCAAGCTTCTAGCTTTAACAATATGGTACTTCCGTAGAAGCTTTCATCCCCAATTCAACCTCTTTCAACCATTTTTTCATCCATTAAAAGTAGCCTATACTTTATCAAAGTCTAGACTATATGTGTTCTAAATACTATTTAAATAGATAGATAGATAGGTAGACAGTAGTTTTATATATTTACTTTCATCCCCAATTCAACCTCTCAAACATTTTTTCATCCATTAAAAGTAGACTATACTTTATCAAGGTCTACATTATATGTGTACCAAATACTATTTAAATAGATATATAAAACTGTTCATCCCCAATTCAACCTCTTTCAACCATTTTTTCATCCATTAAAAGTAGACTATACTTTACCAAGATTTTGACTATATGTGTACTAAATACTATTTAAATAGATAGATAGATAGACAGTAGTTTTATATATTTACTTTCATCTCCAATTCAACCTCTTTCAATCATTTTTTCATTCATTAAAAGTAGACTATACTTTATCAAGGTCTAGATTTTATGTGTACCAAATACTATTTAAATAGATAGATAGATAGGTAGACATCAGTTTTATATATTTACTTTCATCCCCAATTCAACCTCTTTCAACCATTTTTTCATCCATTAAAAGTAGCCTATACTTTATCAAGATCTAGACTATATGTGTACCAAATACTATTTAAATAGATAGATAGATAGGTAGACATGGTAAATTCATAATATACAATAAAGAAAAATACATAAAAGTTGTTTTATATATTTATATATGATTTCATCAAAATAAGTTAAGCCATTTCGAAGACATGACGCGTGTGTTAAAAAAAATGAAATTCTAAAGTTAATTGTTTTATGTTTTTTCCATTAGAACAGTGTATTGTGATTTACTTGTTCACTAGTGACGCACCTCGGTTTCTCTCGGGTGTACAGTGCATGTTCCAGAGTTTGTATAACTATACTAGCTGTGCACGCGGTTTCCTACATAAAATTGATAGCTTATCTATATTATTGTGAAGTGCATTAAAAGTGATATCTTTTGTGGGGTTTCGAATTATTATGCGGAAAGGAAACTTAGGCTAGATTTATTTTAGAAATTTTATTTTAATTCCACGTGAAGTCGTGTGTAATAGCTAGTATTAACCCGAAAGCGAGTTAACTTACTCGATATACAGTATTGTAAGGTTATATAGTATAGCAGCTTTTGTCCGCGGCTTCGGCTACGTGAAGGTAGACAAGGATAGGTTACTATAGTGATGCTGGACAAGGATGGGTGAGACTGAGGTACCCACGCTGACGCTGACCCGACTTTGGTCAAAGTGTAACGAGGTGATTGAACAAATTTGTAAACATGTGACAAGATTCCTTTCTAAGCTGGACCTTGTACGCAAGTTGGCTGACTTAGTTGACATTTTGGCGTTATTAAGTGTTAGGGTAACAGGTTGGTGTCGAGCGGAGCGATATCAAAATATCTGTATTCATGTAGGTCTATTACAGACTCTTATGATATGTCAAATCTACCGTCAGTTCGGAATGATTTCGAGATGAGAAGAACTGACAAGAAACTCAGCTCGTATTCTTTTCAAATAAATGTCGTACATGTCAAATCTACCGTCAGATCGAAGTGTATAATATGTGTGTATTTACTAAAAAAAATATATATCTATGTACTTGTATCAGTTATCTAGTACCCAAACAAGCTTTAGCTAGCTTAACTTGGGACTAGATGGCGCTGTGTGAATTGTCCTGAGATTATTATATAATATGTATGTAGTTACAAAAAAAAATATCTATGTATATATATCAGTTATCTAGTATTCATTTAGCTAGCTTAACTTGGGTCTAGATGTCGCTGTGTTAATTAAACACAGCGCCATCTAGACTCAAGTTAAACTAGCTAAAGCTTGTGTTATGGACACTGTGACATAACAATATACTTTATTTTATACTATGTAATGATTATGCAATTTACAATAACAAAAATATATACTCGTTTGTTTACTACTGTACTAGCCTTTACGCGCGACTTCGTCTCCCTTTTTACCTTATTACGTGTTAAATTGCATTAAGAATTGTTCAGCCGTTTTGTAGTTAATGGGTAACAGACATTCAATTCGTTAGTATCCAAATCTAAAACCGCCCAACTGGGACCCGAACCATTCTGTGTGTAGACTCAAGTTAAACTAGCTAAAGCTTGTGTTATGGACACTGTGACATAACAACATACAGTTTAACACTAATACCATCCCGCGACCTTTGAAGTAAATTCAATTTACATAAAAAATTACAAAACCTGTACATAGAAATCGCTAACGCTTCTGCACTGAGACATATGAACAAACAGTTTAATACTAACAAATGTGCCACTTCGCATCATTACTATTACGTAACTATATACTGTCTGTTTGTATTCAGGTCATTAACTTAATTTATACAGTTACTAGCTACTCGCCTCGGCTTCCCACGGGTGTATTATTATATATAATAGTAATAATAATAATAATAATAATAATCTCAGGACAATTCACACAGCGCCATCTAGACCCAAGTTAAGCTAGCTAAAGCTTGTGTTATGGGTACTAGATAACTGATAATAATAATAATCTCAGGACAATTCACACAGCGCCATCTAGACCCAAGTTAAGCTAGCTAAAGCTTGTGTTATGGGTACTAGATAACTGATAATAATAATAATCTCAGGACAATTCACACAGCGCCATCTAGATCCAAGTTAAGCTAGCTAAAGCTTGTGTTATGGGTACTAGATAACTGATAATAATAATAATCTCAGGACAATTCACACAGCGCCATCTAGATCCAAGTTAAGCTAGCTAAAGCTTGTGTTATGGGTACTAGATAACTGATAATAATAATAATCTCAGGACAATTCACACAGCGCCATCTAGTCCCAAGTTAAGCTAGCTAAAGCTTGTGTACTAGATAACTGATACAAATACATAGATTTTTTTTCCTAAATACATACATATTATACATAGAAAACATCCAGACCGACACAAACAATCATACTCATGAATACAAATGTTTGTGCCGTGCGAGGAATCGAACCCGCGACCATCGGACGTAAAGCGGTGAGCTAGACCGCTACGCCACCGAGGTCGTCTAGAAATATATGAACCTGAGGATATAAACCTTCCTCTAGAATCACTCTATCTATAAAAAGAACCGCTTCAAAATTCGTCGCGTAGTTTTAAAGATTTAAGCATACATAGGGACAGACAGCGACAGCGACTTTGTTTTATACTATGTAATGATTATGCAATTTACAATAACAAAAATATATACTCGTTTGTTTACTACTGTACTAGCCTTTACGCGCGACTTCGTCTCCCTTTTTACCTTATTACGTGTTAAATTGCATTAAGAACTGTTCAGCCGTTTTGTAGTTAATGGGTAACAGACATATTCAATTCGTTAGTATCCAAATCTAAAACCGCCCAACTGGGACCCGAACCATTTTGTGGCTCGCCTCATTGCCTAAAACGTACCATCAGACGGGCCGTATGCTTTTGCCTCCTACGTGGTATAAAAAATCTGGTCTTATATATAAAATTCTCGTGTCAGTTTTCGTTCCCATACTCCTCCGAAACGGCTTGACCGATTCTCATGAAATTTTGTGAGCGTATTGAGTAGGTCTGAGAATCGGCCAACATCTATTTTTCATCCCCCTAAATGTTAGGGGTAGTCCACCCCTAAATTTTTTATTTTATTTTTTAGACAAAATTTTTAGTTTCTGTTTTTTTATGATACAATATACAAAAATACATACAATCCTAAATTTTCACCCTTCTATCATCAACCCCTATTTTTTTATAGCGTTATTAATTTATATGGCAAAACGTTTGCAGGGACAGATAGTAATCACTATAAAGTAACGCTGTAATTAATAAATATACATTGATAATGTAATAACTGTTTTATTAAACTCCTTTCCACTATCACTCGGTGGTTTAGTGGTTTAGCACACCGTTTTAATTACGATGGTCGCGGGTTCGATTCCTCGCACGGCACAAACATTTGTATTCGCGAGTATGATTGTTTGTATCACTTAATTGGGATAGTCGCGGATTCGATTCCTCGCACCGCACTAACATTTGTATTCACGAGTATGATTGTTTGTATCACTTAATTGGGATAGTCGCGGATTCGATTCCTCGCACCGCACAAGCATTCGTGAGTATGATACACCTATACAGACAGTATCGGTCTGGGTGTTTTCTATATGTAATTAGTTCCCTAACACGAACTTTAGCTAACTTAACTTGGGTCTAAATGGTGCTGTGCAATTTATTTATTTATTATCATAAAGATTATTTCTATTTCTATTAATTTGAATAAAGTTTTGTCTTTGTCTAGTTTATTTGTTTTTTTCTTTATCATTTTATACGTTCATCACTTGTTCCTGCGACTTCGTCCGCGTGGAATTTAATTTGATACTTTTTTTCTAAAATAAAAAAAAATCTAAAATAAAAGTAACCTAAGTTACTCCTTATTACATCAGCTACCTGCCAAAAAAAGTACCGTCAAAACCGGTCCAGTCATTTCAGAGATTAGCGGGAACAAACAGACCGACAGACAGACAGACAGACAAAAATGATAAAAAATGTTATTTTAGTGTATGTATCGTATTTATATTCATATGCATGTAGTAAAAACGGTTATTTTAATATTACAAACAGACACTCCAATTTTATTTATATGTATAGATGTATAGATTATGTATGTAATTGTATTTTCTGTATGAGAAACAATGAAGAGTTTCATTCATTCATTCTTTCATTCACTCATTCAAAGAGTAATTCTATTTCTAATGTCACATCTACAGAAACTACTACTCCTGACTCTGTTTGTGGCGTACGCTGCCGCCGATGTCTCGCACATCCTCAACCAGGGTGGTGAGAAGGACGCCAAGATCCTGAGACAGGAGCTGGACGTCGGACTGGAGGGCAACTACCAATACGCGTACGAAACTGAGAATGGAATCTCTGCACAGGAGCAGGGATCGTTGAAAAATGCCCAGTCGGTGAGTACAACACTCCCTTGCTTGAAATAGTCTCAGCTAGGATCTGGAGAAGGACGCCAAGATCCTAAAGTAGGAGTTGGATATCCAGCTGGAGGGTAACTATTAGTAGGTGTACAATATCGAGAATGGAAACTCTGCGCAGGAGCAGGGATCGTTAAAAATTGCCCAATCGGTGAGAACAACACTCCCCTACTTGAAATATTCTCAGCTGAGGTGGTGGAAAGGACGCCAAGATCCTGCGACAGGAGTTGGACGTCGGTTTGGAAGTCAGCTACCAGTATGTCCTACGAGACCGAGAATGGAATCTCTGCGTAGGAGCAGGGCTCGTTGAAAAATGCCCAGTCGGTGAGTACAAGACTCCCCGACTTGAAATGTCCTCAGCTAGGATTTGAACAAGGGCGCTAAGATCCTTAGTAAAGGGTTGGAGGCTAACTATCAGTATCAACACGAGGCTGAGGATAGAATCTGTATGCAGGATCAGAGATCGTTAAAAAATACCCAGTCAGTGAGTACAACACTCTCCCATTTAAAAAATCCAGCTGTGGTTTTTTTTATGTATGGTGGAAAGGATACCAAGATTCTGAGGCAAGAGTTGGACATCAGCTTAGAGGAACACTGTCAGTAACTTAGTTTTTAGATCTATTTATTTAAGACAAGAGCATAACTCTTAAGAAGCCCATCGTGATAAATTCAGCAGGAATTTACGACGATAATTTCCAGGGGAAATCGCGTAGAGGTCCTGACTCTACATTGCTAGCTTTGGGGTCAATAGTCCTCATTACTAACAATTCCCCTTCTCTCCATTTAAACGAGTTTTTTTAAGCATTATAATGGAATGATGCACCTGCCTGCGCTAATGGTTTACGCTGACGGGGCACCAGTGGAGGATGATAATATAAGCATGAGGCCAGGTCAGTTAACCCATCGTGAGAAATTCACCAGGACTTTATAATGATGGTTTCCAGGGGAAATCGAGTAGAGATCCTGACTCTACATTGCTAGCTTTGGGGTCAATAGTCCTCATTACTAACAATTCTCCTTCTCTCCATTTAAACGAGTTTTTTTAAGCATTATAATGGAATGATGCACCCGCCTGCGCTAACGGTTTACGCTGACGGGGCACCAGTGGAGGATGATAATATGAGCATGAGGCCAGGTCAGTTAACCCATCGTGAGAAATTCACCAGGACTTTATAATGATGGTTTCCAGAGGGAATCGTAGATGTCCCAATTGTATATTGCTAGCATTGGGGTTAACAGTCCACATTACCGAGTTTGCTTCTTACTTTGATTCACTTTTCAGGAGAACGCCGCCCAATCTGTGCAGGGTGAGGCGCAGTGGACCGCCCCCGGGGGTGAGGTCATCCAACTGCAGTACATTGCTGACGAGAACGGGTACCAGCCCCAAGTAAGTACACTGATGTTGTTTTGAATTGATCCATTGTTACTTTTTAAAACAATACTAGCCGAGCGCGCGGTTTCACTGGCGTTAAATTTCAATAAAAAATATAGACTATGTGTTATACTGCATGATACTGGCAGTATCATGCATGATGCATGATACTTATGCATAAGCTATATTACTGTAAAGTTTCATCAAAACCAATTCAGTACTTTTTGCGTGAAAGAGTAACAAATATCCATCCACACTCACAAACTTTCGCGTAATAGGATTGACGGCATCAGTGATCTAGCGGCTTAGCACACAGCTTTACTTCCTATGGTCGCGGGTTCGATTCCTCGCACGGTACAAACATTTGTATTCATGAGTGTGATTGTTTCTATCAGTCTGGGTGTTTTCTATGTATAATATGTATGCACTTATGAAAAAAAAATATCTATATATTTGTATCAGTTGTCTAGTACCCATAACACAAGTTTTAGCTACCCTAACTTGGGTCTAGATGGCGCTGTGTGAATTGTCCTGAGATTATCATTGTTAGATATGCGTAGTGAAGACAAGTGAAACGTACACGGGTTCGTATCGCACTGCTTTATTATAAGACAGCTTGATGGTGGGCGCAGCCACACAGGTGTACCAACATACCTAACATCCCTCCCCTTATTACAAAACCCATAAAAAAAACAAAAACAATATTAAGAAAATCAAAGTTTTAACAATAGTTGTACATTTTGTAATTATTGTGGAACTAGTTCAACTAACTCAAGAGCATATCTAAGGTGTTGTATATACATACATATATATATTAATAAGCCGTTCATGGTTTGACCGTCAGGGTATTTAATATTCATCATATATTTTCCGCTTCCTGAAAGTCATCATCATCTGACTGTGTTCCCAACCTATCATTCACTGCAGGGTCTTCTGAATGCGCCGAATCATTTGGTTCATAAATTTCTGCTCTTCTCTCTCGGGCCCGGCAACTCCAGTCTGGCGACTCGTACGATAATGCCAATTGTTCCGGGTGCAATAAGGTAGGTGATAACGGATCGGAACCCGTTGCTTGCGGTGACACGGGGACAGGCGTTGACGGCAGCGATGACGTCATTGCAGGTGGAGGAGACGACTGGTGCAGCGTCAATCGGGGCCGCGGCAGTGACGACGGCGGCAACGGCAGAGGACTAGGTAAGTACGTACTTCCATCTGTACTTTGCTCATGGTTGTTACTACTCCCTTTATATAATAACAATTGATTTTTGTGTCTTTTGACACATTCTAGGCTATATGTATCTTGTATTATATACAACACTTTACCCAATCGTTTAACTATTATGCCCTTACACCATGTAAAACAATTTTTATTTGTATATTTTTTATACATCACACTATCATTTTTGTTAAAATCCCTCGTTTTAGTTTTCGCGTGTAACTTAATTTGCGTACACTGTTTATTTTGTACATGATTAGATACGGTCGGTGACGAGGGTGATGATGATGTTGGATTAATCAAATCTAGTCGCGATCTTAACTTACGGCCAAATACCATTTGAGCGGGCGATAAACCCGTGGTGGTGTGTACGGAGTTACGGTAATCCATGAGATATTTTAGTAATTTAATCTTTGTTTCTCTTACATTACAACGTGACAAAAGACATGATTTAATTCCCTTTTTCACTACTTTGACGAAGCTTTCAGCTTGCCCATTGCTCGCAGGGTGGTATACCGGCGATGTGACGTGTGATATTCCGTTGGAAATACAAAAGCTTTCAAAGTCGTGAGAACAAAAAGCAGTACCGTTATCACTCGCTAGCGTTTTTGGTACTCCATACCTCGACATAAAATCACATAATTTTTCGATCACTGCGCTGGACGTCGTATTAGTGTTCATATTGTACATTTCAACCCATTTCGTGTGGGCGTCTACTACTACTAAATACGTACAACCTTTTATTGGACCTAAATAGTCGATGTGTATCCTATCAAAAGGCGAAAATGGATATTCCCAGCAGGAGGGGGGGCGCGCGGGGGGACGGCCGTAACTGAATGCATATATCGCATGATCCTATCATTCTTTCCAATGCTTGATCGATTCCTGGAAACCAAAATCGTGACCGCGCCTCGGCCTTAGTTTTGACTATACCTAAATGAGAAGAATGCAATTCATTTAAAATAATCGTGTATAAACTCTCCGGAATGACGACCTTGTGACCTCTCATAATACACCCATTTTCTAACGATAATTGTGATCTACAAAGGTGAAACGGTTTGAGACGTATATCATTAATTTTAGCTGGCCATTCATTTTGTATATATTTTAATACTCGATTCAAAATTGCATCTTTCATAGTCTCTTCTCGCAACTTAGACAGAGTTATTGGTATACTGCCGTCCGTAGTAAAACAAATATACGTCGCCTTATCGCATGTTAACTCGTCGCATTCGTTAGAGATACACTGTTCGGTGCACGCGCACTTAATATTACTAGGCGCGGACGACAGAGGCGGGAGCACCGGCGGGTGGGGGACGGGGCCAGGTACGGTCGCCCGAGACAGGTAGTCTGCGCTGTTATCAGCGCTACGTATATATTCTATAATATAACAATAACCACTAAGAAACAACGCATACCGTTGCAACCTGTTCGCTGTTACTTCCGGTATGCCTTTGTATGGTCCAAATATCGAAATTAAGGGCTTATGATCCGTTCTTATTATAAACGGTACAGATCTACCATATAAATATTGATGGTAACGCCGCACACCGAAGATAATGGCCGTTGCCTCCTTTTGGATTTGTGCGTATCGTTTCTCGGCGGCGTTTAGAGTGCGCGACGCAAATGAAATAGGTCTTTCGATCCCGTCCGCTGCAATTTGTGACAGAATTGCTCCTAAGCCACTGGGTGACGCATCTACCGTTAATATCAATTTTGCGTGTGGATCGAAGTGCGCTAGAGTTTGTTCTGACGTCAGTGCCTTTTTTATTGATTTAAAAGCGATGTCATGTTGTATGGTCCAGTCCCATTTACAACCCTTTTTTAATAGTGCATATAAGGGGTTAAGTATACTTGATGCATTAGGTACAAAATTCCTATAGTAGTTAATAAGCCCCAAAAATGACTGTAGTTGGTTAACATTAGTGGGAACTGGAGCCTCCACCATAGCTTTAATTTTATCTGGTGACTTTTTAAGGCCATCCTTGGTAATTATGTAGCCAAGGTATTGGATTTCGTCCATAAAAAATTGACACTTTTCTTTCTGTAACGTTAATCCTACATTTTGCAGACGTTCTAGGACCGTATTTAAATTATTTAAATGCTCTGCCCTGTCCTTTCCCGTTATGAGAATGTCATCGAGCATAGAGATGACTCCGTCCATGCCTGCCAGCACCCCTTCGATTGCACGTTGGAAAATAGCCGGCGCGCTTGCTAAACCGAATACCAGGCGAGTATATTTATATAGGCCGCGGTGTGTATTGATACACGTTAAGCTTTGTGAGTCATCATCTAACAAAAACTGATTGTAGGCCATAGATAAATCTAATTTTGTGAACTGTACTCCACCGTGCAGCTTTGAAAATAATTCACTGATGGTAGGAAGAGGGTACTGTTCCACTAATAACTGTTTATTAAGACTTACCGAGTAGTCCACACATAATCTAACTGAACCATTTCGCTTTAAGACGGGTACTATAGGTGAAGCATACTCGCTGTATTCTACAGGTACTAGAATACCTAAATTGACTAACCTATCAATTTCCTCCCCTATTTTGTCTCGTAATGCAAAAGCTATGGGACGAGACTTAAAAAATATAGGGTTAGAACCGTCTTTCAGCAATAACTTAATTTTGTATTTATTAAATGTACCTAAGCTGTCCGAAAATAGCTTGGGGTATTGTTGTTGCAACTGATTAACGGATAAATCTATTTTGTTACAAAAATTTACTGGGCTCAACTCTAATTTAAATAGGGATATAAAATCTCTGCCTAACAGCGGTGGACCACCATCCCGTACCACGTGCACGTCCAGTTCGTGTGTTTGAGTTTTATAATTTACTGGTAACCGTAATATTCCTAAACATACAATTTTTTTACCGTTATATGTCGACAATTGTTTACGAGCGTTTGATAACGGCACATTTTTAAAATGTAAATTATAATAAAATTCTGAAATCACCGTCACTGCCGAACCGCTATCAATTTCAAATTTGAATGGCAAGCTATTAATAAATATTATCACCACCATGGGTTCTCCCCTTAATGATCGGATATGATACAACTTACCATCATCATCACTCTTGTCACCGCCATCCACGTCTACGTAATTCACTTTTGAACACATTTTACGCAAGTGGCCTTTTTTGTGACACTTTTTACACTGATAATTAGCAAATTTGCATTCGGACGATTTATGATTTGTGTAACCACAGACACTGCACTTCACTTTACCCGTATTTGAGTTATTTCTGGTTTTTGTAATCTGATTTATATGACTGTCAGCCGGTAGGACGTCCCTGGACGCTGCCAGACTACTCGCACTGACTGCGGCTGCCACTCGGGCACACTGCAGGTTCTCTGCTAGTTCCACGGCCTTTGCTAATGTGAGGGCCGACAGATCTTGTGTGTATATCTTTTCCTTTTCGAATCCTGGACGCATACCCATGATAAATTTATCGCGTAACATCTCTTCCACGTTGAGAAAACCGCAGTGAGCTGTCAGTCCTCGCAATCTCGCTGCCCACTGTGTATGGGATTCGCCGGGTAGCTGCGTAGCTGTGTAGAAGTTGTGGCGTTCTCCAAATCCAATACGTTTTGGCGTGAAATGGTCATCCAGAAACGTCAGAATCTCTTCATACGGTACCTCTCCAATGTCTTTTGGTAGTGCTAGGTCTGATGCCAGCTTGTACGTGCCTTCGGTGAGTGCGCTAAGAAGAATGGCCTTCCTCTTCTTACCCGTGGCATCTGTATGTCCATTGATGTCGTTCGCAATAAAATATTGTAGTAAACGACTTTTATATGTCTTCCACGTCTGTACATTGTGGTCGAAACAACTTAAAATACCAAACTGCGTTGTCGCCATTTTGCTTTTTATTCCGCCAATATGTGGGTACCTCGTCGCCAATGTTAGATATGCGTAGTGAAGACAAGTGAAACGTACACGGGTTCGTATCGCACTGCTTTATTATAAGACAGCTTGATGGTGGGCGCAGCCACACAGGTGTACCAACATACCTAACAATCATTAATTTTCATATATATACTATCAGACCGGCCACGCGTTGCTGTGTCTAAGGTTCTTGAATAAAATAATATTGCGACAATAAATTGAGATGTAAGCTATCCTATCTTTCAAGTTGGATCAAATTGCACACAATGTGCAAATCAAATTTGCAATCGGTTCAGTAGTTTAGGAGTCCATCGCGGACGAACCACGTGACACGTAATTTTTATATATAAAGATTTTATATAAATTTTATATAATCTTAACAACTCCTTTTGATGGGGTTATAAAACTATTATTATTATTTACAGGGTTCCCATCTTCCAACCCCTCCACCAATACCGGAGGCGATCCTGAAAGCGCTGGAGTACATCCGCGCCCACCCCCCACCCCCTGAACAATAAACGCGTATCTCCCTTAATCATAACTAGTATATCACCCCGGTCTCGCCCAGGTGGTTACAACTTTTGTATATATTAACATAGTATGAATTTACATTGTAGACTAATGTATCTTAAAATGAAAAGCAACAAAATATTACAAGTAGAGTTAAAAAAAATCACAGGAATTTACCCAGTGGCGTAGTTAGGTAATCAAGGGCCCAGGGGCAAATCTAAAAACGGGGCCCTACATTATAGTTTTATTAAAACATCGTAGTTAGGTAACCATGGTCCCTGGGGCTAATAAAAAAACGGGACCCTACATTACAGTTTTATTAAGACATCGTAATTAGGTAACCAAGGGCCCTGGGGCAAATAAAAAAATGGGGCCCTACATTACGGTTTTATCAAAACACACATATCGCTATCCGTCAAATTGACAACACTGGCAACCCACAGATAGAATTTAGGAGAATTCCGAAGGTATAACTTTAGAATTTCTCTCAACTGAGTTGCCATGATTAAAATCGGGTTGCAACCTGTCATATTAATTTTGAAAATGGGAGAAATTTTCAAAAGTTCAGTTCGTTCGAGATTTTCTGGTAAGGGTTCGAGGGCCCCCTGAGTTTGAGGGCACCGGGGCACTGCCCCGCCAAGCCCCTAGGTAACTACGTCACTATTCTACTACGTTCCTGATATTTCGGCAGTGTTTCGACCGCCATGATCACGGGTAAACTGAAGACCAGCTGGTAGATGGTAAATAAATCTTTTATAAGCAGACATATGCGTCTACCTTCACACATCTTCGTTTGTCGCTACTATTGAAACTCTCTCGATATTCATCTCGGCAAACTATACTCACAGTATCTTCACGTACATTTAATACACTTTCTGATAGTGTTTTTCAGTTTTATTTCATTAGTTTACAGTTTTATACTCGTAATATCGTGAACTCAATAAAAATCGTGGTAAGATCTCGTGATTTTTTCTAATTGTACCTATAAGATATAGATCGCGTCAAATTTATAACAGTATCTGAGTAGTTTTTGAGTTGTTCATAACAAACGTGCAAAAAATCAAGTCTTGCAGTAATTTCAAATTCAAAATGACAAAAATGAGGTTGATAAGAGAGAGAGAGAAAGAGAGAGTTCCGTGAGAAACGTCCAGTTTACTATAAGTGTATATCAAATATGATTTCTGTGAAATCTGATCACCACCAACAAGTGCCATTGTGGTAAATAATCACTATAAAGTAACGCTGTAACTAATAAATACAGACATTGATAATGTAATAACTGTTTTATTAAACTCCTTTCCACTATCACAAAACATCTGTTAAATAATATTTACTGAGCAAAGCCTTACTCACTAAACGATTACTTGAATGACGAGCGTGCATGGCAATAGTTGTTCATGCACGGGATTTTCATTTAATGTTAGACATAGACACCTATATAAATATACATTGTAAATAAACTGGCTTTAAAAAAAAGTAATTCAATTGAGTTTCTTATTAAGTGTAGAGGGGAGACCCTACAAAAGACGATGCTCTCCCGGCACAGACATGCCCCACTCCGATCGATTCCCGTCCAATTCAAACGGGGATCGATATTACGACGGCCTGAGCCGAGGTTCGAACCCCTAGCGGTGCCCTCAGACTGGCGTCGTATCCATCAGGCGGGGGTTGTCCTTCAGCCGCTCCATAAGTCCTTCCTCTTGTTTGTAGTGCCATCTGCACTCGCCTCCTATAGTCCGGTGACGCTGTAAAGGCCAGCTGCGGCCAGCATTGGAGTAGTCCGAAAGCTATCCATACAAGTCGAGGATATTTGACATACATTCCTTAAAAAAAAAACTAATGTATGTATGACAATGTATGTAAACTAAACTGCACTAACCTTGATCTCTGAGCACGGTGACAGCTTCAAGCACTCGCTTCGTGTATATACAGGGCTCGTAGTTGTCCATCTCCTGTGTTACTACTGAACACACCCTGTATAATAAAAAAATTCACAACACTTTATTCATGTAGGTAGGGTGTAACTATACTCATTTACTGAGTTTTGTACTCTATTTTCGCAAACCATACTCTTTTGAAATCCTGTACTCTGAAAGTACTATTTGTATAATTTTATACACATTTGTATTTCTAAAAAAAATTGTTAGATTATTTTATTTCAATTTTAATTGGAAGTAAAATATATTGTTATTAATTACAATTTTCTCTTTGAAGAAATTTCGATGAGTAAATTTATATTTAAATGAATTCAAGTTCAAATTCAAAATATCTTTATTCATGTAGGTCTATTACAGACTCTTATGATATGTCAAATCTACCGTCAGTTCGGAGTGATTTCGAGATGAGAACTGACAAGAAACTCAGCTCGCATTCTTTTCAAATAAATGTTGTACATGTACAATAATACACAGTCATTAAAATTCTAATTTGGGAGAATAGAGTGGTCAGCGTGGTCAGTGTTACTTTTATTGAGATTTCTGTGATATAGATGTGATATGTGATGATGAGCTGGTGCTGTTGGTGATGGTGATAACGGTGCCGGTGATAATGGTGTTAGTGATGACGGCGCGGGTTATGAGTGATGATGACGCTGGTGGTGATGACGGTGTCAGTGACGATGATGAGAGTGGCAGTGTTACCTGTGTGCTCGTCCGCGAATGGCTGCTGCGGTCCTCTCGAGCGAGTCAGGGTCGGCCTCCTGCAGCGCCACCACGCACTTGTTCACGTCCTCCAGGATGTGGTTCTCTGTACATACACATTGCAATATTACAAAATATAACTAATCATTTGAGATTTCAACATGTTAATAAGGTTTTTAGTAGAACAATTATTAAGTGGCGATTTTAATCAAGTAGAATAAGAGACTCTTATATAACTTTAATAAAAACAAAGACAAAGTGAATTTTCGTAAGGTTTTAAGTACAATAAGGGACTTATATGACTTTACTGCATACAAAGTATATTTATATGACATGACAGCCTCGGTAGTCTAGTGGTTTAGCACATTGCTTTATTATCCGATGGTCGTGGGTTCGATTCCTCGCACGGTACAAACATTTGTATTCATGAGTATGATTGTTTGTATCGGTCTGGGTGTTTTCTATGTATAATATGTATTTATTTACAAAAAAAAATGTACCCATGTATATATCAGTTGTCTAGTACCCATAACACAAGCTCTGCTTAGCTTGGGACTAGATGGCGCTGTGTTAATTGTCCTGAGATATTATTATTATTATTATATATTACAGTATTATTATCACATATTTTCGTCATCACTGCCCTACAACGCTTTCTATTTCTATCCAAAGGTTAGCTGGTATAGAATACTATATGGCATTAAGCTCTCCTCTTGTACACTTTATAGTGCAATAAACAATTTAAAAAAAGTGAAATGATCAGAATAGAATAGAAAACAAAATTATATTTTAATTATAATCATAAGTATTTTGAATCGTCATGTAATATTTTTCGATTCTACCATTCATTCGGAAAGCAGAATAATCTTGAGAAGAATGCTTAAGAAACTTGTGTATTGGTCTTTTAATTAAATAAATATAGTGAGTCATTGTAAGTTGACTGCTGATATTTTGTGTGTATGTGTTTATGTGTGTGTGTGTGTGTTTATGTGTGTGTGTGTTTATGTGTGTGTGTGCGTGGTGAGTGCTTTTTTTTATTATGTTGTTTATGGAATGATGCACCCGTCTGCGATAACGGTTTACGCTGGCGGGGCACCAGTGAAGGATGATAAGATAAGCATGAGGTCAGGTCCGTTTGCCCATCGTGACAAATTCACCGAGGGAAAACCGAATGGAGGTCAACCTGACTAGGTACATTGCTAGCGATGGAGTAATTAGTTCAGATTAGTAACAACTTTTCTCCCCCTGTGGTACTGTCGACTGCCTCCGTGAGCAGCCTGACTGCCAGGTTCCAGGCCTGTGTGTGTGTGGTACTGACCGCTGACGGCGAGGAAGTCGTCGACTGCCTCCGTGAGCAGCCTGACTGCCAGGTCCCAGGCCTGTGTGTGTGGTACTGACCGCTGACGGCGAGGAAGTCGTCGACTGCCTCCGTGAGCAGCCTAACTGCTAGGTCTCAGGCCTGTGTGTGTGGTACTGACCGCTGACGGCGAGGAAGTCGTCGACTGCCTCCGTGAGCAGCCTGACTGCCAGGTCCCAGACCTGTGTGTGTGTGGTACTGACCGCTGACGGCGAGGAAGTCGTCGACTGCCTCCGTGAGCAGCCTGACTGCCAGGTCCCAGGCCTGTGTGTGTGGTACTGACCGCTGACGGCGAGGAAGTCGTCGACTGCCTCCGTGAGCAGCCTGACTGCCAGGTCCCAGACCTGTGTGTGTGGTACTGACCGCTGACGGCGAGGAAGTCGTCGATGGTGGTGATGTCGTCGACTGCCTCCGTGAGCAGCCTGACTGCCAGGTCCCAGGCTCGTGCGAAGGCCCCCGCATTGTCCTGCGCCACTCGCGAACGAGGTCGCGCCGCCAGCACCAGCGCCGCGTTGATCACCTGCGGCCACCACACTCGTCACACCCGTCACACTTGCCACGCTCGCCACAACATCGCTCTACTTACACCAATGCCCGGAGCATTGCTGTGAGTTGAGCGATGTGTACACCACAACTCCACCTCCAGAAGCAGTATCATATCAGTGATATACCACAACGCTCACACCCGCCACGCTCGGCACAAATGGCTCTCCTGTTGTTTGTGGTCGTTGAAGAAGTTCAACAACAACTGAATTCTACTTCAGCAACATGACTATATATTTAAAACCACGTTGGTGGCAAACAGTAATACGGCTCGTGATGGTAAACGGATACCATAGCCTATGAACGTCTGAAAGATCAGGGTTGTCACGCGTTACCGACTTTTAGAAACTTTAATATATCCTTCTTGATAAACCCCAAAAAAAATATGTGAACATCCCTTATCATTCATCATTTCATCAACAACATCACTTAGGAGTATGAAAAATAGATAGTAGCCGATTCTCAGACCTACTGAATATAAAATTTCATAAAAATCTGTCAAGCCGGAGTTTCGGAGGAGTATGGTAACTAACATTGTGACACGAGAATTCTTTATATAAAACTCGCTCCGACTTCGCACGATTGTACATGTATTATATATATAAACAATCCTCTTGAATCACTCTATCTATTAAAATAAACCGCTTCAAAATCCGTTGCGTAGTTTTAAAGATTTAAGCATACATAGGTACAGACAGATAGCGACAGCGACTTTGTTTTATACTATGCAACGATATATTCTATCCCTATAACATTTTCTAGGTTTGCTGGAAGAAATCTCTTTTTATAGAGAGCTCAATGAGATCAGTCCACTCTTGATGTGTTGACCCGGGCCAGACTCATCGGAAAGTGGCCAATTTAAACCAGCTTGGCGGACTGGCTTCCGGAGAGAGGCAAGGACCCGGGAGAGAGGGAGAAATAATCTCACCCTTGTACATTACATTCATTGTATATAATTTCATTACTATATGTGTGTACAATAATAATAAAGAATGGTGACAATATTGCCTCACCTGTGGGCAGAGTGCTTCAATTTGCCCGGCAGCGTGGCGAACCATCTTAACACCGTCCTCGTTGTTGGACATTGAACACACCAAATTGGCCACCTGCGGATGAACGGACAATTTTAGATATATATATTGTTGGCGAGAAGATTAAGTGTAGAGGGGAGAGACTATAAAAGACGATGCTCTCCCGGCACAGACATGCCCCACTCCGATCGATCCCCCGTCCAATTCAAACGGGGATCGATATTACAACGGCCTGAGCCGAGGTTCGAACCCCTAGTGGTGCGCTCAGACTGGCGTCGTATCCGTCAGGCGGGATTTGTCCTTCAGCCGCTTCATAAGTCCTTTGGTTTGTGCCATCTGCACTCGCCACCTATCGTCCGGTGAAGCTGTAAAGGCCAGCTGCGGCCAACAGCATTAGAGTAGTCCGAAAAAGAGGCAGAGATACATTCTGGTTTTGTAATTTAGACTACTAAGTCGATACTCTATTGGTTATAATATTTCTAAGTTCATAGTGTTCTTCAGTTAATAATAAGCCATAAACCTTCCACTTGAACCACTCTATATCCTCTTATTAATTGTTTAACCAGTTGGTTATTTTCAATATTTTTTTCTATTTGAGTATTTAATTGAATTAGTCCTAATTTGTGGTTTGTATTCACACACTTAAACTTAAAAATGTAGAGTAATAATAAAATTATTTGAAAGAGCAACACGCAAGTTTCTTGCTCGTTCTTCTTGTGATGAGACAGCTTTCCGAATGAGCGGTAGATTAAAAAAATGTAATGACTATTCAAAAGTGCTTCAATGTAAGTTTATTTGAATAAATGATTTTCTATTTCTATCTATTGCTGGAAACTGCATTAAAATCTGTGACGAGATGTAAAAGATATAAGCGAATATGTATTTTAGCGGCGAAGACTTTGTTTTCATATATGAAAAGATAATAAGTTAATTTTATATCAAATCAAAAATTTATTCATGTAGGACATTTTAGCCGCTTATGAACATCAATTTTTTGTATTAATATTTGTTCCCTACCGTCCAGTTCAGTATACAGATTCAATTGAGAAGAACTGGTAAGAAACTCAACTGAATATCTTTTTGAAAAAAATAATCAAAATATCTTTATTCATGTAGGTCTATTACACTCTTGTGATATGTCAAATCTACCGCCAGTTCGAGATGAGAAGAACTGACAAGAAACTCAGCTCGTATTTTTTTCAAATAAATGTTGTACATGATTACTGTACACGACGGAATCAATTAGAAAATAAGTTTTAGCTGTAATTAGTATAATAAGTCATCCTCAAGAAAATATATAACATAGTGTTTTTATTGCCCTAGATATAAGTAATTAGTATAAGCAGAGTTTGTATATAAGTAAGATCATTTTTGTTAATAATAATAAATCACGCGCAACGTACAGTTGCAGTAGGGAAGGCCACCCGTCGGGCGTCTATATAAAGAGCGCGGTCGGCATTCACTGGCGAGACAGCGACCCGATAGGTGCCTTCCTACTAAGTGCAAACAACCGAGCATTTTTACTTCGCCGTCCGACCATACGACCAGGGATCCTATAGTACATAGTTCTGTCACCATCAATTACAATAATACAGATTCATTTTAAAATTCATACTTGGTAGACTAGAGTGACCACGAGCATATGCTATTGCAAATCAAATAGTCTTAAGTGTTCATTACCCGAACAGACCAGTCCGGACAAGCAGCTTTTTTAAAACCACTTTATCTACAGTGTACTCTATAATGACACTCACCTCGACCAGCTTGTTGGCGTGTTCTGTGAACACGATGGCGTATTCTTCTACTTCTTTCTCGTTTCCGTTGCGAGCTGCTTCCATCAGCACCAGGAGTGGCACGTTGGTCTCCAGGAAACTGGAAAATATATATTCATTATGTACCACTGTGTGCTTTTGAGTTTGTGTGTTTTCTTCTGATAGATAAAACAAGTTGTTATGACTATTCAAAAGTGCTTAAATTAAGTTTATTTGAATAAATGATTTTCTATTCTATTCTGAGTTTGTGTGTGTTTGTGCATGTTTGCTTGTGCTTGAGTGTTTGTGTACATTTACTTGTGATTGAGTGTTTGTTTCTGTGTTTGAGTGTTTTTTCTGTGTTTGTTGACTTGCTTCTGGGTATAAGTGTGTTTGCTTGTGTTTGTTGAACTGCTTCTGGGTTTATGTGTGTTTGCTTTTGTGTGTATTTGTGTGTCTGTCACCTGTCGGACACGTGGTCCACGACCGCCTTCCGCAGCTGTCGCCGCAGGTCCCTGGTCTTCCTGCACATGTTCTCGATGGCTCGCTCCAGTCCCTCTGACTGCTCGGCTCGCCCCGCCTGCATGTTACCATCATTACCGTCAGTCTTACCACCACACAAAACTCTATACATATAAATAAAATTGGAGTGTCTGTTTGTAATATTGTAATAACCCTTTTTTACTACATGCATATGATTATAAATACGGTACATATACCAAAATATTTTTTTTTAGAATTTCTTGTCTGTCTGCTTGTTCCGGCTAATCTATGAAATGGCTAGATCGATTTTGACGAGACTTTTATTGGCAGGTAGCTGATGTAATAAGGAGTAACTTGGGCTACTTTTATTTTAGAAAAATAAACTTAAATTCCACGCGGACGTAGTAGCGGGTGTAACGTAGTAGTAATAAATAAATAGAAAGTTTCAAGAAAAACGTATGCGGAAAGACCGCCATACATCTAGATCATCACAATAAAAAAAAATTGTTATGGGTGTTCCCCATCGCCGGAGTTACACTTACGTTGGTCATGTACTCGTGCAGTAGATCCTGCAGCGCTTGTCGTACGGCGTTGCACTCCGCCACGATACGCTCCCGGCGCTCGTCTCTGTAACAAACCATAAAATAAACAGGCAACCGAGCTTCGCTATTTTTTTTTTAAATGGCATACTTATTAGAAAAGTAGATCTTACTAATATTATAAACACGAATGTTTCTGAGTATGAATGGATGTTTGTTAGTCTTTCACGCAAAAACTACTGAATGGAATTTAATGAAACTTTACAGTAATATAGCTTATACATCAGAATAACATAGAGGCTATAAATTTGAGGTGAGTGATACCGCGGTCACAGCTAGTATAATATTGTAGTATATATAGTTATTCAAAATCTACCCTGTATCATCGTAAGCACAGATATTATATTATATTGGAGTCCGTTAGTTTTCTGTTCCCGCGCGTTTCCTTCCCCTCCCTAACTAGTAACAAACGGACTGTACAGCGGCCTTGACGCGCGCGCGCATTTGTTATGAATTGAAATAAATTAGAACTGGGTTAAACCTACTGTGAAACTGGAAAGCTAGCGAAGATATCTTCGAGACCCTGAAGCCCAAGAAATCCGCAGAACCATACAGGTACGCCAGACACACTAAATCCCCCTATATATTCCCTAACATTTTGGTAGCAGAGTAGTTTCCCAAACAATAGTCTTTGGCATAATTAATATTGTTCATAACGTACTCTGTGCAGTTGACAGAGCCTGATTGTAAAAATGGCGGGAACGGCCAATTAAATGTGAAGCGTTAAATTAACATTTTATTTTGTTAATTGCCAGATAGTGTTTTAATTAAGATACATGTAAAAAATACACTTTGCTCTAAATCTTATTATAAAATAAACGACTACTTAAATGACCACAATGTGTGGACTTAATTACAATTTTAACTTTTGTTATGAGGCATATAATTTTCCCATTGACATGGATAATGTAATAACATTAAAGAAACTTATTATAAATTTTATAATGACTTATTGTAATTTAAATAATGTAAATTTAATATTGTAATGGGTGAATACTGTGATCGGTACAGTTTATGCTGTAAATAATATAAATGACGTAGTGGAGTAACTTGAAACAGTCATGCTCGCTATAAAGTTCAAACTTGTGGCGGCGTGGTGGGCCGGGTCGATGTGCTCCCTCTAATATGGTTGAGTACAATGATGGCTGGCTCATACGTCATACTCGTGAACGGGTGCTGCTTGTGGGGACCGGTCTGTTCAGGTTGTGAACACTGATTAAATTTTTTGTTCTTTGCGATTGCATATGCTGGTGGTCACTCTATTCTCCCAATTTTGAATTTTAATGACTGTGTATTATTATAAACATGTTCCACTATTACTTGAAAAAAATACGAGCTGAGTTTCTTGTCAGTTCTTCTCATCTCGAAATCATTCCGAATTGACGGTAGATTTGACATATCATAAGAGTCTGTACTAGACTTTCATTCTCATTCATTCATTCTTCAGTTTGTAATGGACATTTTAGCCACTTATGAACATCAAATTTTTACATTCTAATTTTATTTTTTTCCCTACCGTGCAGTTCGGTATATAAATCCAGTTGAGAAGAACTGGCAAGAAACTCAATTGAATTACTTTTTTTTTAAAACCAGTTTATTTACAATGTATACTTATATAGGTGTCTATGTTTAACATTAAATGAAAATCCCGTGCATGAACAACTATTGCCATGCACGCTCGTCATTCAAGTAATCGTTTAGTGAGTAATAGGCTTTGCTCAGTAAACATGATTCCAATTCCAGTATATCCTTTGGCATCTTATTGTAAATTTTTATACCTGTTCCTATAAGATCTATTGACTTTTTCTAAACGATACTTGGGGACAGCAAGTTTGTCTTTAAATCTAGTATTAATATTATGAACATTGCTGTTAGTTTAAATTTAATCTATAATCTCAGGACAATTCACACAGCGCCATCTAGACCCAAGTTAAGATAGCTGGTTCAATTTTTTATTATGGATACTAGATAACTGATACAAATACATAGATATATTTTCTTTTCACAAATAAATACATATTATACATAGAAAACACCCAGACGGATACAAACAATCATACTCATGAATACAAATGTTTGTACCGTGCGAGAAACTGAACCAGCCACCACCGGCAGTACAGCAGTGGGCTAAATGAAATGAAATAAATATTTGTTAGGGAAAATATGTGGAAACGTCTGTCTCGTACCTGTATGGTTCTGCGGATTTCTTGGGCTTCAGGGTCTCGAAGATATCTTCGTTAGCTTTCCAGTTTCACAGTAGGTTTCACTCAGTTCTAATTTATTTTAATTCACAACGAATGCGCGCGCGCGTCATGGCCGCCATACGGTCAGTTCAGTATTAGGTAAGGGAGGGGAAGTAACTGCGCGGGAACAGAAAACTAACGGACTCTAATATAATAATCCGTGCTTACGATTGTACAGGGTAGATTTTGAACAATATTTATTGCTTAAAATGTAATACATATGTGGTTTTTAAGGTCTTTAGAATTAGTTTCACACATTTTGTCCTTTCGGACATGTAACAGACAAAACAGATGTCAATGTTGGTTATTCTTAGTTAGTTTATATTAAGTACGTACATTATTTATAATATGAATATGTCAATTTCGTATTAATGAAATATTTCAGCCTAAATATTCAGCCTCGGTGATCTAGTGGTTTAGCACACCGCTTTACTATCCGATGGTCGCTGGTTCGATTCCTCGCCCGGTACAAACATTTGTATTCATGAGTGATTGTTTGTATCGGTCTGAGTGTTTTCTATATATAATATGTATTTATTAAAAAAAAATGTATCCATGTATTTATATCAGTTGTGTAGTACCCATAACACAAGTTCTGCTTACCTTGGGACTAGATGGTATTGTGTGATTTTTTTTTCTTTTTTCAGGACAATTCACACAGCGCCATCTAGTCCCAATTTAAGCTATCTAAAGCTTGTGTTACGGGTACTAGATAACTGATACAAGTACATAGATATTTTATTTTCGTAAATACTATTTATGAAACGAATTGTTCTGAGATATTATTTATTTATTTATAAAGAAAGAAAGAAAGAATTTTATTCAGTGCAATGTAAAAAATACAATATAAACAACAAATATATAAAATTTATAAATATATTATTTATAAATTCTACCTGTCAATGTGTTTAATTAAGTAAGTGCTAATTTAAAACATTGACATGTACTAAACCGCTAGACAAAGCACCGCGCGACAAATCGAACCGGCAACCATCGTACAAAAGCGCTACACCGAGGCCGTCCACACTCCACACGTATGTTCAAATATATTGTTAGCGTTGAAGTGAAAAACAGTTGTGGTTGAAAATATACTATTTAATTGTAAGAGCACACATTACAAAGCACTTGTTGCGGTAATGGCTACACTGCAACGTTGGTGTTGCCATGTATAAAAAGTTTCCATATTTATTGCTATAAAAAGTTACATTTATTGTTGACTTAAACAATTACATAAAAATGAACTTGTATTTATAACAAAATTTTCGAAGCCGGTTACAAATAAAAAAAAAATAATACCTGGTACAAGAACTGTCGGCCATGAGTGCTGCGCCAGAAATGATGGATTCGAGCCGCTCCTCCAACGACGGCCGCGTACGCAACTCAGAATAAGCCAATGGCTCCATAACCATTCTCTCCTGTGGGGAACAGATATTGGTCCATATATATCCTTACTACAATGCGAAAGTAACTCTTGTCTGTCTTTCTGTCGCGCTTTCACGCCAAAATACTGAACCGATTTAAATGAAATTTGGTACACAAATAGTCTAGACCCTGATAAAGGACATAGGCTACTTTTTAATGCGAAAAAAGGGTTGTAAAGGGTTGAAAGGGGGGATGAAAGATGTTTGTACTATCCTTTTGTTCTTTTGTAAATAAAATAAATATTTTGTACTCATGTAAAGGATCTTGTTTTTTCCTAGCTCAAAATGACAAGTTTAGTTAGTGTTCTGTGTTCTTTTTTAAAAGTTATATAATATAGTAAAATGAGGTTGCATACATTTATAAGTAATACCTAACGTCTTAGACAAAAGATGAAATCATTTTTGAATAAAAAATTATTTTCTATTCTATTCTATGTCTATATATATCCTTACTAGAATCCTTACAAAAAAATAGATCTAAATATAAAATAAAATAACAATGTGAAAACTTACCTGTAGTGACTTTTAAAATTTAAAACTTTGACAATTCGTAATATTAACTTTTTCGAAGGTACCCTCAGCTTCCTTTTTTTTAATAATTGAATGATTGACTGTCTTTTAAAAATAATAACCTACAATTAAAATACCAAGTATGTGTGCAGAAAAAAAATATTTTTGTCTGTACTCAATTGATTGAATGATTGATTTTAGAAATATGAAAGCGTAGCGGTTATTGTATTGATTGCCGCATGCATTCTTATGTAAAATGTGAATACTATAACTATCAGATGGCAATTGTGAGTAGCTTTGACGTGGTCTAGTGTTTTGAGTAGTCATGCTCACTAAAATGTCCAGACTTGTGGCGGCGTGGTGGGCCGGGTCATTGGGCTCCCTAAAATATGGTCGAGCGCAGTGATGGCTGGCTCATCCGTCATACTCGTGAACGGGTGCTGCTTGTAGGGACTGGTCTGCTCTAATCACTATGACTGATTTCCTCTTATTAATTGTTTAACCAGTTGGTTATGTATTCAATATTTTTTCTTTTTGAGTATTTAATTGAATTAGTGCTAATTGGTGGTTTGTATTCACACACTTAAACTTAAAAATGTAAAGTAATAATAAAATTATTTAAAAGAGCAACACGCAAGTTTCTTGCTCGTTCTTCTTGTGATGAGACAGCTTTCCGAACGAGCGGTAGATTAAAAAATGTAATCACTATTCAAAAGTGCTTCAATGTAAGTTTATTTGAATAAATGATTTTCTATTCTATTTTTATTCTTAATTAAGTACAGCAACCGTTAATGGGTTAAGAAACAAGAGCATATACTCACATCGAAGTCATCAAGTGCTTGCGCCAGTTCACCCGGACCTTCCGCCTGGGGTCTCGCTCCACCTGTACATTGAGACTTAGTATATTGTACCATACCAGGGACTACTAGCTTGGGGTTGGGGGATGGAGGCAAGGAGTATCGTGGGGTTTTTGGAGTAGGAGTCTCACAGTACCCGTCCGTTCCACCCCTGAGACGGGCGGGATTTTCCTCACGTAAACAAAAGATGGGGAAAGGCGGTTGGAGCACCCCTACCCTAGGGGTGGTGTTTGTTGGGGTTGAAGGAAGAGCATCGTCAGCAGACTAATAATATATTTTATACCCATTCCCATAAAAGATTTATTGACTTTTCTAAAAGATACTTGGGGACAGCAAGTTTGTCTTTAAATCTAGTATTAATACTATAAAGTAGGAACAATAAAAATAAGAAGAAAGTAGGTGGTATGTAATGAACATAAATATATATTTTCCAGTTTCCTGGAGACCAACGTGCCGCTCCTGGTGCTGATGGAAGCAGCTTGCACGGAAATGAGAAAGAAGTAGAAGAATACGCCATCGTGTTCACAGAACACGCCAACAAGCTGGTCGAGGTGAGTGTCATTATAGAGTACACTGTAGATAAAGTGGTTTTAAAAAAGCTGCTTGTCCGGACTGGTCTGTTCGGGTAATGAACACTTAAGACTATTTGATTTGCAATAGCATATGCTCGTGGTCACTCTAGTCTACCAAGTTTGAATTTAAAAATGAATCTGTATTATTGTAAACATGTACAACATTTATTTGAAAAGAATACGAGCTGAGTTTCTTGTCAGTTCTCATCTCGAAATCATTCCGAACTAACGGTAGATTTGACATATCATAAGAGTCTGTAATAGACCTACATGAATAAAGATATTTTGATTTGAATTTTATTGAACTATTTATTGTTAGTACAATAACTTGCTTGTACTACACACTATCACGCGCAAGTCTTCATGAATAGTACTGATGAGAAATCACAAAAAAGAGGGTAATTATTCTTGGTGTTTTTCACATAAATTACGACAAAATGTATGGCACTAAAACTGTTAGAATAACAGTATATGATCCTATATTCTAATGAAGTTATCTGTGAATGGGTATGTTTGGGGCGATCTGCGGTAGTGTCGGGCCGACAGGATTTTTTTTTTATAACACAGGGGACAAACGAGCATGCGGCTCACCTGATGGTAAGTGATTACCGCGGCCCATGAGCACCCGCAACACCAGCGGAATTGCAAGTACGTTGTCGGCCTTTTAAAAAGGAATAAGCTCTTTTCTTGAAGGTTTCAATATCGTATCGGTTCGGAAATACCATTGCTGGAAGGTGATTCCACAATGTGGTTGTGCGTGGCAAAAAAATCTAGAAAACTGCAGTGTGGAGGACCGCCATTCACCCAGATGATCAGGATGGTGTTTCAGTTTCTGGCGGGTGGTACGGTGGTGAAACTCAGCAGCTGGTATTAATCCGAACAATTCCTCAGAACACTCCCCGTGATGTATGCGGTAGAAAATGCACAGAGATGCAATATCACGCCGCAAAGCCAATGGGTCGAGTCTGTCACTTAGACGTTGATTACCAATGATTCTGGCTGCTCGGTTCTGAATGCGGTCAAATGGAAGTAGCTGGTATTGTGGTGTTCCGGCCCAGAGATGAGAACAGTATTCCATGTGCGGCCGGATCTGCGCCTTGTATAATTGCAAGCGATGGGCCGCCGTGAAATACTGTCCCACTCTACTGAGCACACCAAGCTTTTTTGAGGCTATTTTAGCCTCGTCCTCCAAATGACCGCAAAACTGAACGTCACTGGATATATCAACGCCAAGGACCTCGAGATTTGGCTTCACATCAAGGAGAGTGTCTTGAAACTGAGGAGATACGATAAATGGATTCTTTTTAGCGATACCGTGCGGTGTTACCACCGCGGCGGTAGGTGGTGGTCACCGTTGGGTAGCGGACGGCCCTGTGCGACGCTGGAGATGGTGTCGACGGCGCCGCAGACTGCTCGCAGCACGAAGTCACGGTTGGCCTTCGCAGCCGCCAGCTCCGGGTGACGCACGTACACCTACCACAGGCGACTACATTACTCATCATCATTAGCAGCATCATCATCGCCACCGCCTTCGTTATCACCACGTACACCTACCACAGGCGACTACATTACTCATCATCATTAGCATCATCATCATCGCCACCGCCTTCGTTATCACCACGTACACCTACACAGGCGACTACATTACTCATCATCATTAGCATCATCATCATCGCCACCGCCTTCGTTATCACCACGTACACCTACCACAGGCGACTACATTACTCATCATCATTAGCATCATCATCATCGCCACCGCCTTCGTTATCACCACGTACACCTACCACAGGCGACTACATTACTCATCATCATTAGCAGCATCATCATCGCCACCGCCTTCGTCATCACCACCATCGTCGACACAATCGTTAGCATCATCGACAAAGTCAGTAGTGATGTACCCATTACTAAATTTATCGATGATGGTACTTAACTTTTAAAATGTTGCGAAAAATATTTATTCTATTCTATTTTTTTATGATCTAAGTTCAACACCAACTAGTATTAATTAATTAATATATAAAATTCTCGTGACACAGTTTTCGTTCCCATACTCCTCCGAAACGGCTTGACCGATTCTCATGAAGTTTTGTGAGCGTATTGAGTAGGTCTGAGAATCGGCCAACAACTATTTTTCATCCCCCTAAACGTTAGGGGTAGTCCACCCCTACATTTTTATTATATTTTAAGGCAAAACAACGTTTGACGGGACAGCTAGTGTATGTATATATTTATTTATATTATTATTAAAAATTGTTATTATCATCACACAGTATAAAACAAAATCGCCGTCGCTGTTTTTCCGTCCCTATGTATGCTTAAATCTTTAAAACTAAGCAACGGATTCTGAAGTGGTTTTTTAAGAAAGAAAAAGAAAAGAAAGGTTTATATATATAATTTATGTACACTCGGGCGAAGCCGAGGCGAGTAGTAATTTATATACTAAAATTACCGTTAAATAAATTCAAAACATCTGTTCAATCATATTTACTGAGCAAAGCCTATTACTCACTAAACGATTACTTGAATGACGAGCGTGCATGGCAATAGTTGTTCATGCACGGGGTTTTCATTTAATGTTAGACATAGACACCTAAATATATAATGTAAATGAACTGGCTTTAAAAAAATCAGTTGAGTTTCTTGCCAGTTCTTCTCAATTGCATCCACATACTGAACTGGACGGTAGGGAAAAATATTTAATACAAAAAAAAATACTTTCATAAGCGGCTGAAATGTCCTACATGATTTTTGATTTAATTTCATTTGAAGTCATCTATACCTTGGAAGCTGTGAGCAGCATAGTGGAATGTTTCTTGAGGACTGCTCTGGCTGCTGCCAGTTCATCCTTCATGCGGGGCTCCTTCAGCTCCTGCTGACGTTTGGCAGCCTGCGCCGCCAGCTCATTGGCTGACCTTCCAAACTGACGAGCTGACTCCACTAGTTCAGATTGGGATGATGCTGATTTCAGCTTATCTAGGTCTGTTTCTACCTGCAATTCAATTATAACGGTCAGATATGTTAATTCTTTTTCTAGAATATTCACGGCCTTGGTGATCTAGCGGTTAAAAACACTGTTTTACATTCGATGGTCGAGGGTTCGATTCCTCACTCGTTGCAAATATTTGTATTCACGAGTATGATTACTTGTATCGGTTTGGGTGTTAGTAGTAAAACTCTTATTTTTTTATATACATGGTTAAACGACGTTTGCCGGGTGTGAGAGTGTAAAGACAATGTGATAGGATTTTGTTTATACATATAATTTGAAGTATATGTGATGTGGTGTGGAGTGTAGTGGTGTAGTGTGGTGTGGTGTGTAGTGTAGTAGTGTGGTGTGTTGTGTTGTGGTGTGGTGTGGTGTGTAGTGGTGTGGTGCGGTGCGGTGTGGTGTGGTGTGGTATGTAGTGGTGTGGTGTGGTGTGGTGCGGTGTAGTGTGGTGTGGTGTGGTATGTAGTGGTGTGGTGTGGTGTGGTGTGGTATGTAGTGGTGTGGTGTGGTGTGGTGCGGTGTAGTGTGGTGTGGTGTGGTATGTAGTGGTGTGGTGTGGTGTGGTGTGGTATGTAGTGGTGTGGTGTGGTGTGGTGCGGTGTAGTGTGGTGTGGTGTGGTATGTAGTGGTGTGGTGTGGTGTGGTATGTAGTGGTGTGGTGTGGTGTGGTGCGGTGTAGTGTGGTGTGGTGTGGTATGTAGTGGTGTGGTGTGGTGTGGTGTAGTGTGGTGTGGTGTGGTGTGTAGTGGTGTGGAGTGTTGTGGTGTAGTGTAGTGACCGTGCGCAGCTTGGAGAGCAGCAGGTGCACGTCCACCATGTCGGCCAGGATGAGCAGCCGAGTGACGGCCGACAGCAGCGCGCGCGCCGCCCGCACCATGCCGGACCGCACGGCCGACGCGCACGGCTCCTCGGAGAACTCGCGAGCGGCCAGGCTCATTGCCGCGCCTTCAAAAGATTAAAAAAAAATAATCGGCCATCTGGATATAAAATAATATTAATGGTACATTCAGCCGTTAATATTGTAACATATTACTAACGACAAATTGATCCCGCATTTCACATATGCAGTGCACAGCTCTATAGAAAAGTGCTGAAGAGCAAAGTTTACACGCGCCGAGGTAGCAGATTGTTCGTAATGTGGACTATCGTCCTCCTTGCCAGCAATGTATGTACCATGTCAGGTTGAGCTCCATGCGGTTCGCCCTGGAAACCATCGTGATATATTCTTGGTGAATTTGTCACGATTGGCTAAGTGACCTGACCTCATGCTCATCTTATCATCCTCCACTGGTGCCTCGCCAGCGTATACCGTTAGCACAGGCTAGTGCACCATTCCTACAAGTCATAAAAAAATCATCAACCTTCCTGACTTTCTCCACTGTGGACTGATGATCTCGTTGCTAGCAATGTACCATGTCAGGTTGCCCTCCAAGTGGTCCCCTTCTGGGTAACATCCTTAGATTGTCACAACCTGCTAATAGACCTGACATCATACTCATCTTATCATCCTCCACTGGTGCCTCGCCAGCGTATACCGTTAGCACAGGCTAGTACACCATTCCTACAAGTCATAAAAAACTCATCAACCTTCCTGACTTTCTCCACTGTGGACTGATGATCTCGTTGCTAGCAATGTACCATATCAGGTTGCCCTCCAAGTGGTCCCCTTTGGAAAACATCCTTAGATTGTCACAACCTGCTAATAGACCTAACATCATGCTCATCCTATAATCCTCCACTAGTACCCTACCAGCGTATACCGTTAGCACAGACAGAAGCTTCTTCTTCTGTATGTGCAGTCTCCTACTGGAGATTGATGATCATCCTGGCGATCTTAATTTTATCCACCACTGTTCTGAATAGGGATCCAGTGCTAATCCCGAACCACTGTCTTAAATTGTTTAGCCATGAACACGGCGTCTGGTCTTCGGCGGCCCTGGACGGCAGACTGGTGCACCACTCCGTTATCATCCATTACAAAATGTATCAACGTTCCTGACTTCCTCCACTGTGTACTGATGACCCCATTGCTGACAATAATTGTACCATATCAGGTAGACCTCCAAGTTGTGTCCTTTGAAAATCATCCTGATAAATATCTGGTCAATTTTTCACGACGTGCTTACCTCATGCTCATCGTATCATCCTCCACTGGTGCCTCCAGCGTATACCAGGGTGTACCATTTCATTATAAAACTCACCAGCTTTCCTGACTTCCTCCACTGCTGCCATCATCTCGTCAGTTATATCAGGGTTCTCATAGGCGATGGTCTGCCCTCGTTCTATGAAGATCTCCGTAGCTCTCTCCACGGTCGCCACCAAAGCACTGGCACGTTTGGACTTGCCCGCTGGAAAGATAAACAATTGAATTAAGTAACGGCCGACTAACGGTAAAGTACACAGCTTTTTTTCCGAAGGTCGCGGGTTCGATTCACGGCACAAACATTCATGAGTATGATTGTTTGTATCGGTCTGGGTGTTTTCTATGTATGTATTTACGAAATATATATCTATGTATTTGTATCAGTTATCTAGTGCCCATAATACAAGCTTTAGCTAGCTTAACTTGGGTCTAGAAGGCGCTGTATGAATTGTCCAGGGTTATTTATAATTTATTTATTTAATAATATCCCTAGACTTATCTTGGGGCTAGATGGCGCTGTGTTAATTACACAGCGCCATCTAGGCCCAAGATAAGCAGAGCTTGTGTTATGGGTACTGGACAACTGATATTAATACTTAGATACTTTTTTTTAGTACATACATAATATAGGTAGAAAACATCCAGATCGATACAAACAATCATACTCATGAATACAAATGTTTGTAATGTGCGAAGAATTGAGTACCTATAATACAAGCTCTGCTTAGCTTAGGCCTAAATGGCGCTGTGTGAACAGTCCTGAGATATCTATTGAATGCTAAAAGAGCAATTTGTTAGCAAGTAGATATACTTGCTAAACTCACGCATCTTCTGCATAGTATTTTCCCGTTTCTGCAACAATATCCTATCTCAGCTCGACTCCTATTGGTCGTAGCGTAATGTGATATAGCTCATAAGATTCCTCGATAAATGGGCTATCAAACACTATAAGAATAGTCAAAATCGGTTCAATAGTTCCGGAGAAAATCCTGGACATCCAAACTCACAAGCTTTACCTCTTTATAATATTACTAGCTTTTACCCGGTTTCGCATGCATTGAATACATTTTTTTTTTAATATAACGTATCCAACGTTCATTCTAATACCTCCCAGAACATGTGTACAAAATTTCACGATTATCGGTTCAGTAGATTTTGCGTGAAAGCGTAACATTAACTTTTATAATATTAAGTAAGGATTACAGGGAACATCTCTTCCCAGAGAAATATCCTGACAGTGATGATAGGATAAAATCTGCTTTCATCATCCTGATTATGATGACTTGATGAACATTCATCATTTAATTGTCTATAAATAATACTGAATAATATTTACCCCGCTCCTTTTCCACTATTAAAGTCATGTAATACAAAAATTTGCGACTTATTACTGACTTTTATGAAAGTTAAATTTATCATACTTCTTTATCAAACCACAAATGTTTTGTAATCAATATATTTTAGATTACTTGAATTAATATATAATGTTGCTTTAATTTTGTTTATTGATAGTTTTTGGATCGGATTCTAATTGTAATTTACATATAATATATAATGTAATTTCTAATTGTTATATATATATATAAATACTAGCTGTCCCGGCAAACGTTGTTTTGCCTTAAAATAAAAAATAAAAATTAGGGGTGGACTACCCCTAACATTTAGGGGGATGAAAAATAGATGTTGGCCTATTCTCAGACCTACTCAATACGCTCACAAAATTTCATGAAAATCGGTCAAGCCGTTTCGGAGGAGTATGGGAACGAAAACTGTGACACGAGAATTTTATATATAAGATAGGGCGGTAAACCATAAAACGTTAATAAATGAAAATTATAATTAATTTTAATGGAGATAGATAAAATCAACAACGGCACGGACCGCTGTCTGTGGAAATAAAAAAAAAATTATAAAAAAAAACCACAAATGATACCTTTGTAAACTTTATTCACAATTGTTCACAATATATAATGGAGTCCGTCCAAAACAAACGGGGATCGAAATTACTGCCTTAGCCGAGGTTCGAACCCCTAACTGTGGCCTCAGATTAAAGTCGTACCCGTCAGGCGGGAGTTGTCCTTCAGCCGCTCCGTAAGTCCTTCCGAGGGCTTCTCGCCTATCGTTCGCTGAAGCTGTAAAGGCCAGCTGCGGCCAACAGCATTAGAGTAGTCCGAAAAAAAAACCATAAGCTTGTTTGCCAACATTGTGCCACAATAAAAAAAATATAAAGTTAACTTCTGTGCTTGTGGGAGAAGCTTTTATGGCGACTTTAGTAGTCTCCACTCTACATGCACAATAGATTAAATGCAAGGATCAATTAGCGCCAGATCCAGTGGCGTAGCTACCTAGGGGCTAGGCAGGGCAGTGTCCCGGGGCCCTCAAGCTCAGGGGACCCTCGAACCCTTACCAGAAAATCTCGATCGAACTGAACTTTTGATAATTTCTCCCATTTTCGAAATAAATATGGTTGCAACCCGATTTTAATCATGGCAACTCAGTTGAGAGAAATTCTAAAGTTATACCTTCGGAACTCCCCTAAATTCTATCTGTGGGTTGGCAGTGTTGTCAATTTGATGGATAGCGATATGTGTGTTTTAATAAAACTGCCCATTCTTTTATTTGCACCAGCGGCCTTGGTTATCTAACTACGTCACTGCCCAGATCATCATTCCTTTCGAGGCGGGACAAAATCTTTTCCCCTCTCAGGCCAACATTCTTACAATATACATATTAATATACAATTTGCCAATCAGTATTTCTGTTTATTATCGTGGCTTTTTAACAGTGATGTCTTCATTTTCAAATGCATTGAACACAATTTACTTGACGTCCGTCTATCACTGGTGAAGTTGTCAAAGATGCATCAAAAATGGTGAGAACTGGACGCCTGGGGCATGGACTGTATGGTACGTCACCGTACAGCCGCCAGCATTTTACAGCGCTCCGCGTCCATATAACACCCACATGTGCCATTCTCCCTCTAGCAATGTACCATGTTACGTCCACCTCCACGTGGTACCCCCTGGAAACCATCGTGATAAATTCTTGGTGAATTTGTCACGATGCGCTAACTGACCTGACCTCATGCCCATCTTATCATCCTCCACTGGTGCCCAGCGTAAACCGTTAGCGCAGGCGGGTGCACCACTCCATTATCATAAACAAAAAAAAAACCATTCTCCCTTCACTACGCCAAATACTCACGAGCAAGCATCAGTCCACACTCAATCATCGTGTACTCAATAAATCAAGTTGAAAAGCAGTCCTGAGTTATCATTTCTACATCATAGCATCCAGATTGTGTGTGTCACAGCAGGCTCATCTTTATGGTCCTTCGGGCCGGATATGAACCAGCGACCTATGGACCCGGGACAACACGGGTCCATAGATCGCTGGTCCTAGATCCGTGGCTGGGATCAATGCAAAAAATAGACTTCAATTTTCATCTGTTTCCATTGTCATGTATATTAGACATTTGGAAGAGAACATCCGGACTATTTAAAGAAATTAACAGACACAACATTGCGACAAACGAGCATGCGGCTGACCTGATGGTAAGTGATTACCGCCGCCCATGAGCACCCGCAACACCAGGGGAATTGCAAGTAAGTTGTCGGCCTTTTAAAAAGGAATAAGCTCTTTTCTTGAAGGTTTCAATATCGTGTCGGTTCGGAAATACCATTGCTGGAAGGTGATTCCACAATGTGGTTATGCGTGGCAAAATGTTTCTAGAAAACCGCACTGTGGAGGACCGCCATTCATCCAGATGATCAGGATGGTACTTTAGTTTCTGGTGGGTGGTTCGGTGATGAAACTCAGCAGCTGGTATTAATCCGAACAATTCCTCAGAACGACTTATATAAGAGAAATGTACACTGTATAGCAATCAAAGTGTACAACAATCTTCCAAGAGAGATTAGAGAACTGAGATCTCACTGTTCAGATGCAAACTAAAGAATTGGCTGTCACTTGGTCATTTATAGTGCCCAAGAATATTTGACTAAAACGAACACTTTTACATGATTTGCATGCCTATATCGTAAATATTGCTGATCAATAATATTTCTTACTGCTGTAGGGACTTCGTCCGCGTGGAATTTAACAAAAAAGTTAATTAGCGAATATTTCTAAAATAAAAGTAGCCTACGTTACTCTTTATTACATTAGCAACGTGCCAATAAAAGTCCCGTCAAAATCGGTCCAGCCATTTCAGATAATAGCCGAAACAAACAGACAGACAAAAATTTAAAAATATGTTATTTTGGTGTATGTACCATATTTATATTCATATGCATGTAGTAAAATTTGTTATCTCAATATTACAAACAAACATTCCAATTTTATTTATATATATACATGTATAGATAACATAATATTTACTGCACCAATGTTTTGCAAATAACTTCATTTCTCCTTCTTAAGGAGATTTCTACAATACTTACGTCTCTTTTTCTTAGCAGCTCTGTCTTTGCTGTTCACCAACGTGGTGACCTGCAGGACGAGAGGCTCCAGGGTCCTCTCTACGGAGGTGGTCCGGATCTCCAGGTTCTTGGGGTCCCACTTGAGCGTGAGAGTCCCCGTAGTACCGTAGGGGTCTGTCATAGTCGCCATTGTCTGAAAGATTTAAAATATTTTAGCAAATCATAACTTAGTAGTCTAGATGTTTAGCACATCGCGGCAAACATACGGCCCATCTGATGGTAAACGGTTACCGTAGCCTATGTACACCTGAATCACCAGGGGTATCACGCGTTGCCGAAACTTAATATACTTAATACTTAATATACCCTTCTTGAAAAACCCCTATTTATTGAAAATCTAGGATGGGAAACAGAAGAGTAGGTATACCAGCTGCCAGAAAGTCGGACGACATAAAAGACAGCAGATCCGACCTGGACAAGATGCGGAACTGATGCGTGGCAGACTGAAGAAGCCGGAAAATTAAGCAAGAGGCATACATCTAGAACTGGACTAGTATATGCTGAAGAAGATAATACTGTACTAGAAATAGAAATGACATAATTCTAATGACAAGGCTGTGATTTTCCTTGTTCACATTGTAACTAGGCAACGGTGTTGCCGCGTGAAATGAATGAATGAAATGAATGAATGAAATGAATGTAAAGAAATGATGAATGAATGTTTAGCGTCTTTGTTGTTACCGCTATTATTTGTGTTCTTGTAGCAACAGCGGGAAAGAAGGAGGTGAAATGATGAGTCCAGATTGTTGTTATGTACATATTTATAATTACGAAATATTTACAATTAATATATAGGTATGTACAAGAAGGCGATTCGGTCTTGAATGACAGGCCTGTTATTTTATTGCTCTGTCGTAGCTAGGCAACGGTGTTGCCGCGTTTTGCCACAAATGTAATGTCGCCATAGACTTAAGTAAATAAAGATATTGCAAGTCAGCATAGACTTAAGTAAATAAAGATAAAAATAGAAAACTAATTTGTGTTCTAACGCTAACAGGGATAGCTTTAGCTGCACTCATAACATCTTTATATTGCGGAGTGATGCTGCAAACTCTTTTCAATTACTTGCAGGTTTCCCCGAAAGCTTAGTACAAAAACCAATTTAGATAATATCTTTATTTACTTAAGTCTATGGCGACTTGAATGAATGGATGAAATGAATGTAAATAAATGATGAATGAATGTAAAGTCGCCATAGACTTGAGGAAATAAAGATAAAAATATCTTTATTTACTTAAGTCTATGGCGACTTGAATGAATGAATGAAATGAATGTAAATAAATGATGAATGAATGTAAAGTCGCCATAGACTTGAGGAAATAAAGATAAAAATATCTTTATTTACTTAAGTCTATGACGACTTGAATGAATGAATGAAATGAATGTAAATAAATGATGAATGAATGTAAAGTCGCCATAGACTTGAGGAAATAAAGATAAAACTATCTTTATTTACTTAAGTCTATGGCGACTTTACATTCATTCATAATTTCTTGCTAAGCTATTCTATATATCAAGCTATTGCATAGCTTTCATCGCGAGCTTTGAGCGCGGCGAGCGATTCAAGAAATTCCGTAACGAAAATAAACCTAACACCCATCACCCCGATCGGCAGCGCTGCGACGTTGAAAGCACGTATAACATATAACAACGTATAACAAAAATATAAACGTGTTGGCAATTAGCTGTAAGTTTATATTCTGTTAATTAAATAAGTAAATAATAAAAAGCCGTGCATCGTCTAACGTCGTTTCAGTTCGGCAGACTTCGGCAGACTTCGGCAAACTTCGGCATGGTGTTCGTGTGCGTGCGACTAGCACACTGTACGAAGCTCGCACGGAACGGATCGAGACGAGCCGCTCCGAAATAGGACGAATACGTAAGCAGCCGTTTGTGAGAAAGTATTCAAATTCAAATTCAAAATATCTTTATTCATGTAGGTCTATTACAGACTCGTATGATATGTCAAATCTACCGTCAGTTCGGAATGATTTCGAGATGAGAAGAACTGACAAGAAATTCAGCTCGTATTCTTTTCAAATAAATATTGTACATGTTTACAATAATACACTTTCTTGTCACTCACTTGTCATTTAAATTCAGATTTAGGAGGTGTGACCACTAGCATATGATATTGCAAAAAACAAAAAATCTAATCAGTGTTCGCAACCTGAACAGACCAGTCCCCACAAGCAGCACCCGTTCACGAGAATGACGGATGAGCCAGCCATCATTGCACTCAACAATATTAGAGGGAGCATATCGACCCGGCCCACCACGCCGCCTCAAGTTTGAACTTTATAGCGAGCATGACTGTTTCAAGTTACTCCACTACGTCAATTACATTATTTACAGCATAGGCTGTACCGATCACAGTTTTCACCCATTACAATATTTAATTTGCATTATTTAGTTTATATTCACACACTTAAACTTAAAAATGTAAAGTAAGAATAAAATTATTTAAAAGAGCAACACGCAAGTTTCTTGCTCGTTCTTGTGATGACCAATTTCTATTTCTATTTCTAGAAGATCGTGGACGTTGGCGGGGGCCCGACAAGAGCACAGCTCTTAAATTATGAATGAACTAGCTTTTGCCCACGGCTTCGCTCGCGTTAATTTATCCGCTTAGGGATGGAATTTATCAAAATCCTTTCTTAGGGGATGCCTACGTCATAATAGCTTTATGCATGCAAAGTCTCAGTCCGATCGGTTTAAAATTGACAAAGTTTCATACAAACTTTCATCCCCTATTTTATCCCCTTGGGGGTAGAATTAATCAAAATCCTTTCTTAGCGGATGCCTACGTCATAACATCTACCTGCATGCCAAATTTCAGCCCGATCCGTCCAGTGGTTTGGGCTGTGCGTTGATAGATCACTATGTCAGTCACCTTTGAGTTATATATATTTAGATGAATGATGTTGATATTAAATAACAAAATGGTTAGAAACTTTTTGTTTAAACCTTTTATTAAATAATATGATTCAGCGTGACAGCTAATTAAGTGTCGTTTTGCAATTGTTGTCAATATAAATTAATTATAAAATACTCATAACTTGTTATAAATAATGTGAACTTCTGTGTCAGTGCTTTTTCAAACTTATCTAATATTTATCCGCATTGTTAGCTGGCCTTTACAGCTTCACGGGACGATAGGGGGCGAGTGCAGATGGCATTCCCAAAGGAAGAACTTATGGAGCGGCTGAAGGACAACTCCTGCCTGACAGATGTGACTTCAGTCTGAGGGCTAGAGCAACAGATTTGAACTTTAGGCTGTTGTAATTTCTGTCCCCGTTTCTATTGGATGGTGATATGTGAGTGATATGTGTATGAGCTAGTGAGTAGTGTCTCTTCATTTGGAATATAAACTGTAAACTCTCTAGTGATATCTACTGCTGAATCTGTTTTTTGATATATCATCAATATCTGCCAACACTTGAAGAGCGGCCAACTGTTCAAGGTATGAATATATTTAAGTATTAAAGTAAATAAATTGTATGATTGTATGTGAATATAAATACGGTACATACACCAAAATAATATTTTTTACAATTATTGTCAGTCTGTCTTTCTGTCTGTTTGTTCCGGTTAATCTCTGAAATCGCTGGACCGATTTTGACGGGAGTTTTTTGGCAGGTAGCTGATGTAATAAGGAGTGACTTAGGCTACTTTTATTTTAGGAAAAATATTTTTAATGGTTAAATTCCACGTGGACGAAGTCACAGGAACAGCAAGTCATAAATAAAATAAAAAAAGAAATTCCTTTCAAAACTAAGGTACTTAAATCTATACATAAATGAAACTCTATTTCCCTCAGCATCACTCATGAACAGCTGGCCAATATTGCTATTTCACTTTCTGTTGAGTTAATTTTTTTATACACTGGTAGTAAAATAGCATATGGTCCATCTAATGGTAAATGGTGACCCTAGCCTATGGACCTGAGGAATTGTCAGAAGATTTTTATGATAGAACAAAATTAAGAAAGCGTTCTGTATTTTTTTTAACTATATCAATGTGAATTCAATACTCATAGTTAAGACAGGACAATGTCTGTCCAGTTATAATATAAATAAAGTATTATTAGTAATAATAGTCATCAAAATAACTATGTGGTTACTAATATAAAAATGCGAAAGTAACTCTGTCTGTCTGTCTGTCTCGCTTTCACATCAAAACTACTGACCCGATTTAAATGAAATTTGGTATACAGATACTCTAGACCCTGAAAACGGACATAGGCTACTTTTTAATGTGTTGTAAAAAAGGGTTGTAAGGGGTTGAAAGGGGGGATGAAAGATTGTATGGAAGTATCGTCATTTTTAAAGTTAGAAGCTTGTAACTTATTTTTGAGGCTGTTGATTAAAAAAGGGTTGTAAGGGGTTGAAAGGGGGGATGAAAGATTGTATGGAAGTATCGTCATTTTTAAAGTTAGAAGCTTGTAACTTATTTTTGAGGCTGTTGATTAAAAAAGGGTTGTAAGGGGTTGAAAGGGGGGATGAAAGATTGTATGGAAGTATCGTCATTTTTAAAGTTAGACGCTTGAAACTTATTTTTGAGGCAGTTGATTAAATATAAATAAATGTGGCATTCAATGTTTGTAAAAAATGTACCATTAAGGGTGTAAAATGAAGGGGATGCAAGTTTTTATGTAAATTCGTGATTTTTGAAGCTAGAAGCTTGAAACTTATTTTTGAGGCAGTTGATTATATGTAAATAAATATGACATTCAATGTTTGTAAACAAAATTCCCTTAAGAGGATAAAATAAAATAGGGGATGCAATTTTTCATCATCTCTGCCCACCTTGGACTTCACTTTTTTAACATTTCAAATGGCAAACAAAGTGGTCTCAAATGATTTAAAGTGGTGGCTGTTAATTGATGACCTTGATGTAAGATGGATTATCCACACCACCACCACCCCTTAGCTCCAACAACCAACTGCGAGGCAACACTGAAGATTTAAGCTTTTCAATAGATAATAATCTTAGGACAAATCACACAGAGCCATCTAGACTCAAGTTAAGTTAGCTAAAGCTTGTGTTACAGGTACTAGATAACTGATACATATATAGATATATTTTTCTTTTCCTAAATACATACATATTATACATATAAAACACATACAAACAATCATACTCATGAATACAAATATTTGTGCAGTATGAGCAATCAAACCCGCAACCATCAGAAGTAAGTTGCTGTGCTAAACCCCTAGATCACATAGGTTGTCATAGATAACTATAATATACCTTGAATGCCAATATAGATGGCTAAAAACATGTTACGAATATGCTGAAAACCTCTAAATTGCTGTCATTTCAGAGGTCTAATCTCTCGTGCCTATATACGCTGTAATATTCCAGGCATACTTAATTATTTCTTTAACTTCAAAGCACAAAAATAATGTATACATATGTATGTATACTAACTACTTAAACTAACTTAACCTTGCCGCGTTATGTACCAGGCAACCATGAGTGGTGTAGAGAAAGATTGTTGACGGTGCACAAATATAATCTTTAAACCGAAACACGTCTTATAAAGTTTAGATACAACAAACATAGTGCATAGGGGGGAAGGGGATTGTTAGTAATGTTGATGATCTTATTGCTAGCAATGTACCATGTCAGATTGACTCCACACAGTACCCTGGAATCCATGATAAATTCTTGGTGAATTCATCACGATGTGCTAACTGACCTGACCTGATGCTCATCTTATCATCCTCCACTGGTGCCCCGCCAGCGTAAACCGTTAGCTCAGGCGGGTGCACCATTCCATTATCATTCATAAAAACATCACCTCGCGCCGTTATGTACTAGGCAACCATGAGTGGTGCAGAGAAAGATTGTTGACGGTGCACTAATATAATTTTTAAATCGGAACACGACTTATAAAGTTTCTGCCGATAGAATTTCGCGCGATAGACATGTCCAGACTTTGTATAGCATCTCAAATACAAAGTAAAACGTGAATATAGATAGTACTTATTCAGAAATACTTAGGAAACACTTAATTCCCTTTGGAATGACTCATGCCTAACAGTATTTATGAAATATCGACAAATAAAGAATACAATATCACAGATAGGAATTAAAATGATATTATACTGTAATCTAAAAGGCAAATAACATATTAGAATTTCTTAAAAAATAAGAAAACTCATGTAAATAAACAATTTTTTATGTAGGACGGTTATCGATTAAGATAAAAAATTATATGAACCTATTTTATGTTTATCACTTAATGAGAGATATGGACTTCTTAATTTGCTAGTATAATGCGTTGACAACTTTATTGTTGTACTTTTACCTTATTATTTCCGGAAATACAATGGCTATTTAGGCAGTAAATATATCCACAATATAGAAAAAGTCACAATGCACTAAAATAAGTTGATCAAATCGATTTTAAAACACAATTTAAATGAAATAATCACTAAAATCGCACACTATGTTATGGAAGGCGTGTCAAAAACATTAATTGCTCGGTAACGTGTTGCCATAGTAAAATATTAAAATATTTATTCAGTGTGTTTTACTTTTGTAGAAGAATAACGAAATTATTATAAATTTATTTATCTCAAGAGTTACTTAGTGTATTTAAATAAAATATCCGTAAATACTTATTTTTAAATTTTGAAGCGGTATATGGAGTACTTTTTGTTAATAAAATGTAACAGTTTAACATTGACGCTTAGCGACATCTAGTCTATAGCGCAGGTAGATTATATTTAGATTTTAAAATATTTCCTACAGATGTCGATACAGACTTCATTCAGAATTTCTTTTTCACAAAATTGCAATAGTATATACTGGTGGTTACTGTATTTCTCTAATTGATTTAAAAAATGAATCTATATTTTTGTGAACATGTACAATATCATATCAAAAGAATAAGAGCTGACTTTCTTGTCAGTTCGTCTCAATTCGAAAGCGCTCAGAACTAACGGTACACTTAACACATAAGAGTCTGTAATAGACCTTCCCAAATAAAAATATTTTGATTTGATTTGATTAGGTAGAGTTATCAATTTTATTTAAAGGGCCTTAAGAGGCCTATTACAAAACGATGCCGCTCAACTTTAGGTTTAATCGCATGGATTTACGCACACATACAGTAATACACGCACACAGACGCAAATAAACGTGTAGCGCAATCGGTGTGGATTTAGTATGAACCATTTTGATCCTTGTAATATTTTAATTAATAATGTGATATGTTTCTACTTAACTGAGACTACTTATTGGATTTTTTTAAATAACGTGATTTATCTTAATTATCAAAGTGCTAATAATGACCATATTTTTTTATTATATTATTCCTAGAGGGTTGATGTCAGGATGCTGGCCGATTGTACAACTAAAAGCCAAAACCTTAAGTAATATGAGTAACAAATAATTGGGATAAGGACAGGAAGATGAAATTACTATAACATAAATTTACTAATTAATTCTTCTTACATATTAATTCAGTTTATTTATTAATAGATACAATATAATTTATTATAAGAGTCGGATACATTATTGCCATATTCACTTGTTCTAAATATTATACTTAGCAAATAATTATTTTATTTATATATAATAGTTGTGTTTTCAAGGCTTTGTTTTGATTTAAAGGTCCCATCCTTATATGTATATTAGGTGTGTCCGCGACTTCGTCAGCGTGGTATAATGAAATTGACCAAATAAAGGAAATATATTTAGATTATAACCTAAAAAAGTTTCTTTGTTTCAATTAAACAATGACGATACTTTTATACAACCTTTCATCTCCGCTTTTAATCCCTTACAATACTTTTTTCGCACTATAAAGTAGTCTATGACCTTTCTCAGGGTATACTATCTGTGTATATGTATATCTATCTATATAGACTACCTGTGTATATATATGGTAGTGAATTTACAAGGTACAGGGGAATAATACCCGAATTTTCAGGAATGGCAACGCATGAGGGAAACAATGTGCTGATATGAACATGGCAGGTACTGCTCATGTATATAGGCGACTTACTTTTGCTGGAGATTTCTGAAAGACTCTCTGTGTCATTAACGTCGTCTCCCTTATGGACTTTAATTGAAAGTTTAAAACTACTGACAAATTTGAGAGCTCATTTTTATGGAAGCACAGATAGTGATTTCCCACACTAAATGCTCAAACTTGAGGAAGGAATTTCTCAAAAGCTTGATCCAGTCATGAAATTTAAGCCCGCCGAACATGTGCAATGGCGTCCCATTGGATATGTTGCTTACTAAAGAATTGAAAGACAATTTAATTGTAGACCATTATAACCGGTACGTTAGCTGGGCAACCAGCTTATATACCAAGAATACCGATGATTCCAACTGATCTGCCAATACCATTTTAACGGCTTCAATGGAGATTTCCGGTTAAAATATCATCTACACATGTAATAGATCTATGTATGTTTTGATCTTAAAAAACTACGCAGATTTTGATTCGTTGTTATTTAATAGACAGAATAGATAGACTCAAGAGGAAGGTTTATATATAACGTCCCAATACTGTACACGGATCTTTAAACGCGCGATAACCTATATATCCCATATTCACGCGGGCGAAGCCGCGAGCTAAAAGCTAGTCTCTAAATAAAAACATTTATAATGTTGTTGACTTTTCACCCAAACACGCATAATTATTTGACATAACTGTACAGTAATGAAAGTCCAACGAGTATAATAACAGAATAGCTGCAATTTAGAAATATCTGTATTGTGTAAAATAAAATAAAATTGGATAAAATATCTCTAAACATTAAGGAATATAATTTATATATAATTTGGTAATTTATTTACAATCCACATTGCATACTAGATGATATACACTATATAACACAAGACAAATGTACGTAAAAATAATAATGGTATTTTTATAAACAATAACCCTATTTTAATTTAGAAAAAAACTACAAAATAAACATAGAGTAAAATTGGTTTACATTTTCTTACATTTTTCTCTCAGATAAGCGTTATTTTTAAAAATACTAAAATGTTATCTTTTTTAATTTTAACAATTAATTGCCATTAGTGTGACGAAATACCATGCTCTTGTGCTTTTCATAGTCCAGCAGGGTAGGTAGGTTTTATTTGTAGCATAACTGTACTTTTGTCTTGGCATGCTAAAATAAATATTATATATATATATTTAACAACAACTTTAAATTAATATTCGTAGAAATAAGTATATATTAGCAAAAATAATTAAATATTACTTAAATTATCAAAATGGTTTAGTCGCTCTATACTAATGTTCACTGACGAATGTCTTATCTTAGCGGTGTTGTAAAAAATGGCATAGGTCCTACCTCGACGAGCGCTAGCGCAGCACTGAGAATTTACTTTTGGCGCAACGGAATTTATACAACTTTAAATTATTATTATTTTTTATTTTTTTCTTAGAAACTTATATTTTTTTTTCATATTTCTAATTTACAAGTATATTAACTTTATTATTATGTTTTTTTTATGCAAAAATTTCGTTGTATTTATGAGAAAATTAGAAATGATTATGGCAAAGTTTTGTTGAAATTTCGGGTTTAATTATGATCAATTTTTTAGATATTTAAGTTGAAAATGAAAAAAAAAGACGATGCTGTCTCAATTTATAAAGTAATTATCAAGTTTTAGTAAAGATATCATATCAATTTATGTTTGTTTATTAATGAACGACGACCCCTAACTTTTGTCATTTAGCGTTTTTGAATAAACTATTTTAGAAATTAGGAAGACTAACAAAGAGAAAATTAACATTTCAAAGATGTTGTTTTTAAGATTAGATATCTATCTATATAATTCAGGAATCAAAATGTATATCCGACTCTTAATTTCTTAGAACCAGAACCCCAAAGACACTGCTTTTAGGCCAAAAAATGTGAAAGGCCTCTTAATAATATATTTTTAACTAACTAAACATTTCGTCTGCGTGGAGTTTAAATTCATTTTCTAAACTAAAAGTAGTCTAAGTTACTCCTTATTACATTATAAAATAAAATAAATAATGCAATAAATATTTATTTATACTAGCTGCTATGTTTATTACTAGCTGTTCCTGCGACTTCGTCCGCATGGAATTTAACTTTATATTTCTAAAATAAAAGATTTTTTCTAAAATAAATGTAGCCTATGTTACTCGTTATTACATCAGCTACCTACTAAAAAAAGTTCCGTCAAAATCGGTCAAACCGTTTCAGAGATTAGCCGGAACAAACAGACAGACAGACAGACAAAAATGTTAATTTAGTGTATGTACCGTATTTATATTCATATGCATATAGTGAAAAACGGTTATTTCAATTACAAACAGACGTTCCAATTTTATTTATATGTATAGATAAATTTATGCAAACTTTTAATCTAGAATAATATATACATACAGCACAAAATAGTTAAAAATAAAAATAAACTTATTTCAGTATAATTTTAACCGAAAAAACCTTTCTTTTTTCCTAGCCAAACCCTATTTTTAGGTCTAAAACGAAAACGAAAGTTCGATCGGAGCATAGTATAAATAAAAAAAATAAAATTATATTTTTTTTAATCACTTTAAATGTCGATATCTCTGTCCAAATCTTCGAATGGATCTGTGAACATAAGAGATACATTTGTAAAACTTTCCACACCGACTGGCGTTGTCTTTGAAAACATTCTACTGAAATCTTTTTTAATTAACTCCTGTACCAATCTCTTTTTGGCGGGATCTTCAAAATCCAGTGCTTTCGAATCATTAAACATCTTGTTGTAATCAAAATTGAACGGCGTTAAATTAGAATTTATATCGTCATCACCAACACCAGTTTCTAGAATTTTATCAACATCATACAATTTGTTTTCTTCAAAACTCTCATTTAAATTTGTCTTTCCTAAATCTTTAGATGACGTTATGGTAGTAGTTTCATTTTTCGTAATGGCCACACTGTCTTTAGTAGAAACTTTTTCATTGTCTATTTTAATTTCGTTACTTTCAAAATCAGATTTCAAATTTAAATTACTTCGTAATACTGGACTTGATTTATCTTCATTAGTGTTATTTGCAGCTATAACATTCCCAATTTCGTTGTTTCGTAGAATAGTTGTATTTTCAGTCATTTTTATACTATCTGTAGTATTTGTGTTGGTTGATTTATCAGTTGCTAATTTCTTAGTGACTATTGCATCTTTATTATGAGTTTCTGTTGTACTAACCCAGTACTCCAGTGATGTATTATTCTTAGTTGTTATCAGGTCATTAATATTCTTATCAAGCATTTGTTTCTTAACTGCGTTTAATTCCTTTTCTAATTCTTCAATTCGTCTAACATAATTGTTAGGGATTTGTGTTTTAGTTTTAGCATTATCAAGTGTGATATTATCATCTGTTATATTATCATTGCTTTTTCTAAACGATTTCTCTTTGTAACGATTGGTAACTTCTATGGATATGCCCTCACTAGATGGCGTGGTTGCTCTGAATCTTACTTTATTACTCTG